TTATTCAGGAAGGAATAAGTTGGCAGTAACTACTTATATCTGTACTTCACCTTGACTGAATTAGGGTTAAGACAGCACCAGGGACCCGTTCTGTGGAGAGAGATTTTTCCGCAGACTGGAGGGAGCATGATTTTGTGTGCTGCCTGCATCTCGCAGATGGGGCTTTGCTTGTTTGTGCGGATCAGTTGCTGGCCGATACCGGTCCACGGACTGGTGGTTGGGGACCTCTGGGTTAAGAGATAGTTGCTTGGAGGCTTTTTACAAGTCTAGATTTGCCTTTTGCCTAAATAGTCTCTTAATTATAGTCCATGAGTGCTTTCTCAGCCTTGCTTTCTCAGCCTTTCTACTGTGGTTGTTTAGGCATTGAAATCTTGAGAATTCACTGAGTTTGTTTCACAATTGCTGGACCTATATATTATAGTATTGCAACATTCGGTAAAACAGACAAATGGGGAGAAGTTGTCTGTTAAAAATCAAATGTCCATTAAATGGCAAATGGCTTTTTTCAGTTCCCCAAAACATTCATTTGTGGGAAAATATACTTAATTGATCATAATAATTATAATAATTCCCCAAAACTGCAAAGATTGATAGTGTTGACCCAGAATATATTACATCTAAGTCAGGGAAAGTCCTTGGTTTTCTTTCTCCTAGTTCAATGGATTTTAAAGAAAAAGAATATAGAATAGTGAAGACCTGTTTTTGAGGGAAACTGTGTCCAGACTTATTCATCAAATAATGGATTTTATCTGTTGTTTGGGGAAAATACCATTGATTTCTAAAATGTGGACAAGTATCAGACAAGTACGGTATCTGATCTTCAGCACTTCAGTATGTTTATTCATTTCTCTGGTCATCTCCGAGACCGCCTTCTGCCGCAGATTACCTCCCATCGGCCGGTACGCTCCCACAGGGTGGGTCTCCTCAGGGTGCCGTCAGCCAGACAGTGCCGGCTGGCGACCTCCAGGGGGAGGGCCTTCTCGGTGGGAGCTCCCACCCTCTGGAACGAACTACCCCCAGAGATCCGGGTGATCCCGGATCTCCCCTCCTTCCGCCGCGCCCTTAAGACATGGCTCTTCCAACAAGCGGGATTGGCCATGGGGAATTTTTAGTGGGGTTTTAAGAGTAATTTTAATTGACATAGGCCACAGCAAATATTTCATTTTAATTAGGTTTTAAATTGGGTATTTTTATCTTTGTATCTGTTTTATAAGGCTGTCAGCCGCCCTGAGTCCGTAAGGAGAAGGGCGGGATAAAAATTAAATAAATAAATAAATAAAATTTACTGAGTTCAACCATTTTAGTTAATATCTGGCTGTTCTCAAGCATTCCAACTCTTTTTTATGAACTATTGCATGAAGATCATGACTAAATAATTAAAAGTATATGCAACTATGAATTTTCTGTCATGAATGATTATATTTGTCTGAATTTACGCACAACTGATTTTTCCATAAACAGTTACATTATTGTTAAGTTGAAGGCAGATTTTAAATGGAACCAATTTTAGGCCTGTCAAGGGGCTTTCTAAATTCCACTTAGTTCTCAAATGTCAGGCATGAAAAACCAGATTCACACATGAAAGTTCTATTTCATTGATTTATTACTACAGTCTATGCACAGGAATCTGCTCAGACTGCTAGCATCTGGACAGAACTAGATAAGCATTAATTGCATTGAAAGGGGGCTGGACTTTGTTCTTTTGTGGCTATGTAACAATTCTAAACTGATGCCTTGTTTAACTTCTGCTCCTGGCTCTGCCAGTGTCTCCTACAAAAATGGGTTTCTTTTCACCCATAGATCTCTAGGACTGCTGGTTCCTAGAGTATATCGATGTTTTTTCTGTGTATTTCTCTACCTTTGCATAACTGTACATCGTATGTCTAGGATTACGTACTCAGGTTTAGACAGAATAAATTATATTCTATTCCTTTCTCAGTCCTTAAATGTGAATAAAATCTCATTTATATTTTGAACTGATAAACATTAAATATTTTACCTACTATTCACTCTTAATTTATAGTGTTTATATTTAACCTTTGTTTTGCCGTATTTCGCTATAGTTATTTAGGAAAACTCCGATTAAGTGTCTTCCACTTCTCCCAACTATTTTGATTATTACAATTTATTTCCAATGTTCTGCCCAATTTCAAATATTCTCCCTCAGCCTCTTAAGGAAGCAATATTTAATACTGTATTCTGTAATACTTGCCCATTTATCTTTCAGGTCAAGAACGCTTTGGAAATATGACCAGAGTATACTATAAAGAAGCTGTGGGAGCTTTTGTAGTTTTCGATGTCACCAGAGGATCAACATTTGAGGCAGTTTCCAAGTGGAAACATGACTTGGACAGTAAAGTAATGCTCCCCNAGACAGAAAGCCAGCTGGGTTACTTTGGGCCAGTCACTCTTTCTCTCAACCTTAGGAAGGAGTCAATGAAAACCACTTCTAAAATTTTCTCAAGAAAACTGCACTGTCCGGGCATTCATTCAGAGTTAACACTGACTGGAAGGCACACAGACACAGGCTTGAAGACACTTAGGTGCAATCCCCCACTTGGTTATGACTGTTGTATACATTACTGTTAACTTTTTGGAAGAAAATAAGCACAATATCAACAAAAGGCTACTTCTTTCCTCAATTGCTGTTCTTTCTTTTTTAGAAAATAATTCAGTTCTTGGAAAGGAATTAAACAGCAAAAGCCAATATCTGAGAAGCTGCAATCCCAAAATTTAAAAATAATGCTTTTGAATTACACTGGTGATACATATAAATATAAATATTGTGAAGACTAGGATGTGGCATATAGAATTTCTTCATTGTTTTGATTCACTTCTAAACATTTTTGAATGCAAATGTGTCGTGAGTATGCAAATGCAAATCTGCATGATTTATTAAAACCATTTTTAGCATTATGCCGCTGCTGCAAGTATAAACCAGAATTCCAGAGAATCCTGGGATAATTTACAAGCAAACATAGTTAAATCTAGGAATTATAATAATGGCGCTGTGTATTATCTAAAAACTATTCTGATAACTCAATGCCTTGAAATTTTACATGTTGCAACTGATCAGAGGCATCTCAAAATATGGTTTTTCCTCATAATTGTGCAATTTCCTGATGGACTGAATGCAGAAGTTTGTGTAAACTGCTTTGGCAAACAACTGAGTTTGCCAAATTTTCTGATGCAGAAAATTAGGGGTTTTTTACCCCTTTTCTTTCCTGTTACAGACAGGCATTCAAATAGCTTTTGGAATGGGGTAAAAAGTTGTTCAATCTGTTTAAAGGAACTAGGAGGAAGCACACACTAGAGGTTACAACTGCCTCTGATATAAATTGGGTCATTCCTCTAACCGTTCTAGCTGCTCTTTCCCTGTTGCTTAAGAACTTTAATGTATTTTTACATTTCATTAAGCAAAAAGAAAAAGTGCTGTGGCAGACCTGTCACTTTGAGGCTTACATTTTTAAACCTATCGCACCAGATAGTTTATGGAAATCCTACTTTATGATGAAATAGAATAACGAGAGTACTTTTTCACCATGGGTTGTAAAATCTCCACATTATTGTGTAGAGATGTTAACTTCAGTTTGCAGTCTTTACCAAGGTAAATTTTGAAAAAGCAGATAGAGAAAAGGAATATAATGGGAAGAAATGACACTAGAATCGCCTAAACTTTGTAAATGTAGAGTTGTAACTATGCTTTTAGGAATTAGCTATTAAGAGTTCTGCAAATCATTTGAAAAATATGCTTTTGAACAGACAGAAAAGCATTCCTTTTGGAATTGTTAAAGCTGGCATGTTCTTTTCCAGGCTCACAAAACTTACTATTTTCAGACTTGTTCAGCTGGAGCAAGTGATAAAGAAATACTACTATTTCATTAATTAGGTTCAACAAAACAAAATGAAAGTTCATTTTCAGTGTTTCAGGAGCATGCTTGTGTGTTTTTAAAGATCATGTACTGTATACTTACTGCTATTGTTGCTACAAACATAAATCCTGTGTATGTAGAAAGGAGATGTGAAGCCACACAAAATTTGATATTGATACCAGTGCATAGATGTGCAAGAGGCAAAATTAACAATGTTCATATATCAATGTTAATATATGTATAGAGCAGGGGTAGGCAACCTTGGCTCTTTTATGACTCGTGGACTTCAACTCCCAGAATTCCTGAACCAGCCATGCTGAGAGTTTCCGAGCTGAGCCATGCTGGCTCAGGAATTCTGGGAGTTGAAGTCCACGAGTTATAAAAGAGCCAAGGTTGCCTACCCCTGGTATAGAGCAAAGAAACTGTTTGAGCGTATATGCTTCAGGACTTTTCAGCCATCTGTGTTCATGCATAGAAGATACTGCCACAGGGATAGCTGGTGAAACTAGCTATTAAATTATTTACACAAGCTAGGGCCTCATGGCAAAAATTTAGAATTGGTCATATTTTCAGGAAAGGAAAGTGAGTAAGTATGTGAGTAAGTATATATTATGAGGATCATTAAATACATTCATACAACATATGTACTATAGTTTATAAACTTTCATTAAGCCATCCAGTTGTATGTACTGACTGATCGCTATAGCGTCATTTAGCTTTTTTTTAAAAAAAAACTTTTAAGATTCTTATATCATCTGGTGGCAATTTAATCATTCAATAGAGGATTAAGCTGTGGGTTCTTTGGGGTTTGTTTCTGTAGTTAATTTTTTTCAACAGGACAAAGAGCATGTTCCAGTATTTATTCAGGAAGGCAGGGCTTTTTTTCAGCCGGAACGCGGCGGAACGGCGTTCCGGCACCTTTTTCCGGGCCGGCCGCACCGGAAATAGCCCCTCCCACACCGGAAATAGCCCCTCCCAAATTTTACTTGCATTCCTGTTCTCTAAAGGGGCGGTCCTAGGGTTTGATGAGGGCGTGGCCAGGTTTGCGTTCCGCCACCTTTTCTCTGAGAANTTAAGGAAGCAATATTTAATACTGTATTCTGTAATACTTGCCCATTTATCTTTCAGGTCAAGAACGCTTTGGAAATATGACCAGAGTATACTATAAAGAAGCTGTGGGAGCTTTTGTAGTTTTCGATGTCACCAGAGGATCAACATTTGAGGCAGTTTCCAAGTGGAAACATGACTTGGACAGTAAAGTAATGCTCCCCAATGGCAGCCCAATCCCAACCATTCTACTTGCCAATAAATGTGACCAGAAGAAAGACAGTAGTCAAAATCCTTCTCCTTCTCAGATGAATCAGTTCTGCAAAGAGGGGGGCTTTGCTGGATGGTTTGAAACTTCTGCTAAGGTAAGGCTATTCCTAAAAGAAGGTCTTCTCTGTGTTCAGAACTGGACTGCTGACCTAACCCAGCCTTGCAGTTTGGTCCTGCTAATTCAGAATTCCACTACTTGTTGCTTTCTGGATTTCTAGATATTATTAGTTCCATTGATCTCAAAGGAGCAAGAGGGGCTTTAATGAAGGAAATTAAAATGGTTAGGGCAAATGGATCAGTAGGCAGAGATAAGTAATTGGATATTGCCAGGATCTTTCCTCTATTTTCCAGCAAAAGGATGAAAAAAGACCTAAAATCTTACACAGCTACATTGTTTTTGAATGGTGTCAGCCCTTCCCCCATTCTTTTTAAACATCTACATTTTCTGATAATATAAAAGCCCCAATGTTTGCAAAGTTGTGTTGCCCTGCACATATATTGTAATTCTATTTTTTCAGTCTTGATTCAGTATGTAAACTTAAAAGTGATAATCTTGTAGAAATCTATGTTTTCCATCTTCTACCTTTTATAACTAGATAGCTAAACATGAAATAAGAATAAATTCCCCATAAGATCTATAACTACACTGAAAATAAATAATTAAGAGCTTGATAACCATGATATGCTCCCTGTTTCTTTTCTTCAAGTTTGTCAGAGTTGTTGGATCAAAGTGGTTTAAAAATGTTGCCAACATCAAATGATTTGTTATTGCCTATATTTATTTAATGATGCTTGGCATGCATACAAAGAAAAGTCTTGCCAGCTGTTGAACGTAGCAATATGACCCTTTGAGTCATATTTTAACTTTACATTCATTCATTCATTTCTTTTGTGATGCACACAAATGACCATTGTGATTGAGGTATTTAATAAACCATGTATATTATGAGTCTATATATTGACTGAATATGACTATAAACTCTATAGTTTTTCAATTGAAGAGAACTTATGTAATCTGCTCTGGAATGACTATATATTTACTTCATCTAGCCCAGCGGTCTCCAACTTTATGTGGTCTTCAACTCCCAGAATTCCATAGGCAGCTATACTGGCTGGGGCACAAGTCTTAAAGTTGCCAAAGTTGGACGCCCCTGATTTAGCCACAGCTTGCTAACAAACTAGAAGAGTTTGCTTGAAACCTCATGTTGCTTTCTTAATTGAAAACAATGCATTCAGATTTGGACTTATTAATACATTGTGCATTCAGATCCAAATAGGCAATTTTATTCTGCCCCAGTTTCTTACATATAGTTATATAGAGCAGGATGAATGTCTTGGCCTTTTACCAGGGTGAATCAAGAAAGAGATAGCCCAGCAGCTCTCAATTCTTTCTCTCAGTTCAAAGGGGTCACAAATAGACCAAATTAATGGATCCCACTGTCATGTTTGAACATACAGATTATTTAATGCCATTTGGCAGGGCTCATGCAATGAAGAAAATGTAATAAAGATGCTTCTGAATAGATATTATATGTTGAAAACAAAAATTCAGTTTTCTCCCACTGTAATTTGTTGCACTCCTACAAAAATCAGCTATAATGTAAAATAAGACAAGTTCTAAGGACAGCAACATATTTTATTAATAAATTACTTCCAACAGTCTCTCTAAAACAGACATGTCAAACTTCCAACGTATCGGGACGGTTTTGCCATTGCCGGCAATGGGGTGGGCGTGGCTTCCAGATGACGCGTCCGGCCCGTGGGCCGGCAGTTTTACACCCCTGCTCTAAAAGGAGAGATGTAGATACCGTATTTATACTGAAGCATTTTGGACCACCTTGATCCTTGTGTGTAGTAAAGCATTAACTTGTCTCTTGGTCTCCTTAGGATAACATCAACATTGATGAAGCTGCTCGGTTTTTGGTGGAAAACATCCTTGCCAATCTGAAAGCCTTCCCAAATGAAGAGAATGACGTTGATAAATTGAAACTGGACCTGGATCCCCTAAAAGCAGAAAGTAAATCCCAGTGTTGCTAGACATATGTCTTCCATCAATACATCATAAGAGCAGGATGTTTGTCTTCCTCATGTTGGACAGCTGCTGTGGTGCTTAATCACACAACTATCTTGTGGGGTATTAAGTTCTTCACAATCCAAGGTGTTTACATTTTTTAAAAACTCAAATAAGACTTAAGAGTTTCACGTATACTATGTTCTTATTGGTAAGCTATTTAGTATAGTCACAAGCTGACCTCTCTAAAAACAGGTAGGATCTAGATGAAAGACTTGGCTTCAATTCAGTTCAGTTGAAATTACTCATTTTGATAAGAACTATACATTTCCTTATTTTTAAAAAATATAGGTCAAATTTCTTTACTTCCTTGCTCTAATATTGCCTGTCTTCTGTTTAACACTAGGACTCTGAAACAAAAAGATTCCCGAGCCATAAAGTGCTTGGGAGCCATAACTAATTCTGAGGCAGGACTGAGCAGGGATTCCTCATTTATAATGTGCCTTAAAGTATATAAGAATCTAATGCTTGGAATATAAGGGTAGTTGGCTAGTGTGAAGGTACTAAGAATATATTTGTGCAATCCATCAAATAAATGAGTACAACTCATTTCTGACTGTTTTGGAAGAGACATTCTCTATTATATTTTCACATGTTAACTAAAATATGAAAAATAAGTTATACCTTACTGTACAAGGACAGTTTTTTTCCCAAAAAAGATTTCATGTTGTCTGGGCTTTTATGAAATCATTCTTTAACAGAAAACTATCTTTTAAATCAGAGATGATTTAATTTGCAAATAGTCATTTTAAACACAGGCTATTTTTTTATAGATGTAATATTTCGCCAATGAACTATTTAACACAGGGAATTAAGAATTGATAAGGGGGCATACTTTTGTGCACAAGAATAATTTGCAAATGTACAATATACACTTGAGTCCTAAAAATATTCATTATTATTTGTGGTATCTATGGATGTTTGGAGAAAAGACTACAAAGAAATACTTTCACCAATTGCAAGTAATATTTAAATCTGTGGGTTCAACTCTGTTTTCTGTATATTATACTGATCAAATGTAACCTGTCACCTGCTGCAAACTGTAAAGAACTTTGGACTACAGTAACACTCTTCAGATTTAGACTGGGTCATATATGTATTTTGTGTATCTGATGCTGTATTTAAAAATAATGCAAGCTATATAATAAAAATACTTGGATTTTTATATGATAAGTGTCAGGTACATTGTCACTTGTACAAATAGAAGAATACAAAGAACATGTCTCAGGTTGAAAATCTTATATTCTAGGCCTGTGCTAGCTTTGTGGAAATTTATATAAAGTCAGCTATATTTTAAATCTTGGTTTGTCAAAATGTTCTATGTTCCTATAGTTTTCTACTTAAATGCTGAATGTTCTTCGATATATTAAAGTTCAAATTCTAAAATGAGCAAATCATTTTAAGCAAAAAAAATCAATGTGCTTTATGAAGAAAAATAAATAGACCATAAAATTACAAAAAGTTCTAAAAGTACAACTGATTTGGAAAATACATGTTTATTCATCTCAATCCTTGTTCTTGAAACGCAAATACAGAATGATTTTCAACAGGCTTTCTAGATGTTACTTTTAATATAACCCTCAGGACAAAAAACATCTATACTTGCATGGATTCATGCTGAATATGAGATTTATAGTGCTTGCTAACTTCAGATAATAAAGTTTTGTGTCCTTCACTTTAGATTAGGTGTGTCAAACTGCCGGCCCATGGGCCGGATGCGTCATGGCGAAACCGCACCCACCCCATTGCCGGCAATGGAAAAAAAGTCATGATACGTCGCAGCACGTCACGTGACGTTGCGAGTTTGACACCCCTGCTTTAGATCATCTTCAGTGAGAAAGTATTATACTTTTTCCTAATATGGAAATCAGTTGCTTTGCTTGAATAATATCACATTTTTAAAACCAGATTGTTTATTTTTCAATTATAATTTCATATTTCCCTTCTTCAAACTCTAGCAACATGTTTGCCTTACCTTATGTACAGTATCTGAATTATTGACAAAGCATATTCTGAGAATTGGAATTATTGAATTGAAGTGCTGAACAATTTAGTTTTGTATTATAAAGTTTAATAGGTCTGTGATTGAAGAAATAAAAATGTTAAGAATTTTAGAAGGGGAGAGAATGCTTTTTTCCCACATTCAGATGACTGGGATCATTTCCCCATTTTATATCATCTGGTTCTGAACATTTTAATACTTTTATACAAAACAAATGCAGTTGGCAGCATATTACATTATCAAACAATGAACACGTCATTTATATGTTTATATTACGAAATGTAATATATTCATTTGAAAAGTACCAAATCGGGAGCCCATTAAATGGCTGGTATGAGTGTATGTTGTTGCTTGGGGGGGGGTTATCTTTTATTTTTATTTTTTATTATTTTTATGACTTTTACATTGTTTTTATTTCCTGTAAGCCGCCTTGAGTTGCCGTGAGCAAGTAGGCAGCAATACAAATTTTCCTAAATGAATAAATAAATGTTCTCAATGAGAAAACCATGCTGTTTCCAGACAAGCATGATAAAGATTGCCGTAATGGCCTATGCTGATAGACAAATCTCTTAATGTGAAAAATAGTTGCAAAGTTTAGCATAAGCTTAAAAGCCGGAGATCTTAACATTTCTACATTCTGTGCAACTTCTTATAACTAACAGAATAAGATAAGTAGTAGAGCTTTCCAGGGAGATAACTGTTAGTCTGTGCCAACAAAATAACAAATACTTGTGACACCTTAGGGAATAGTATAAAAAATTACTTTTTATACCTTTTATATAAAAAAAGCTTCTATAGCTTTTCCAAAATATTATAAAAATTACTTTAAAGCTTTTGTGCATCTGATGGATGTATATTGTAGTCCATAGAAATTTGAGCCATAACAAATGTGTTAATCTAATATGCCAAAAGACTCATTATTTATACTAGTTCAAGTTATCAACACCTACATTCCTTTTTAGGGCCATTGCAAATCCTCATTTAGTGTATTTCAAGCTGTAAATCATATTTCCTGTCCTAGGTGAGGAACTGAAAAGAGAATAAAAAATACAGATCCTGACTGTTGAAGATACATTTATTGTTAGAGGCAAATAATTTGTGAAAACCTGAAATTATTCCTCTGCAAATTTGACTATTGTATGGTGGTATGTGACTTTAAACCAGTCTTCCTCCATATGTTCCCTTACAGATATGTTTTATGATCAGATCTCGAGAACAAGAGTACACATGATAGGCATCTGGTTTGCAGAAACTGATGAGTTCAGTGAAACATTTTTGTATTCAAGATCTTATCTATAGAATCATGGCACGCTGACATTTAAAAAAAGATGCCCCAGTGTTCTTTATTACTATCTCAGTATTTATAAAATAGAGGCATATATCAGATTGTTAAAAAGGGTACTAATATTTCATTTACATAAAACACTCCTGGAAAAAGTGAAGAAAATAATCCAACAACAAAGTCTAGTTCAAATCTACATAATCTTATGACACTGGTTTGAAAGCAATGATTAAACTTGGAGGAATTAACTCCTAAGCAACATTCTTAAAATAACCCTGCAAAAGCTACAATTAAGATGTAAGCAATGCATAGCAACAACAAACATCTACACCAGTCTACTCAGAAGTAAGGCCCACAGAGCTCAGTTTGAGTTACAAATGTTTGTATAGATTGTACCAAAGTTATACTTGGAGATGCTCAAAAATTTATATGACTTATAAGTGCTTTGCTATTAAAAAGATTTCTTCTCTAAATTACATAATGTGAATAGAAAAAAAATATACAAATGGGAATAGTTGAATTTTCTACCCTAGCTAGTATTTCACATACTGTGGACATAATCCTAAATTTAATGTTGATGTGAATCTGATTCTTGGTGATTCTATGGGCCAGGTCTTTCCATGTCTCCTAAATTTAATAGGATGCTGCAACCTTCTTATATATTTATGTTTCAATAGAAACATATCTTTTTAGAGTAAATTAACTTCATTAGTAAACAGGGTTATTTCAGGGAACACTCACCAAAGGTTACACATTCTATGCTGCTTTTGGCATTTGCTTCAGATTAAAAGGATAGGATCTTATAGAAAAGTAGAAGAGATTTCCAGATCAGCTCCTGCAGGAATGCACAACACCTGTCAATTCAAGGATCATGCCAAACTTTGTGCAGTACATAAGAGTGCACTGAAAGTGGGTGGAACAATGATTTTGAGAGAAATAATGGTTATCTTAAACCCATGTATTTGTCTCTTAAAACATTTTTTAAAAAGGGTTAAAGAGGATGTTTTTTACACCGTGAGCTTATGAATAAACTCAAGTTCAGCTCTGCTGAGTACAAGATCTTAAATACAGAATACCAATATAGGGTTTTCAAGAGTTGATGGTCCAGAACTTTGTGCAGAGTTCCTCCTCCTCCTCCTCCTCCTCCTCCTCCTCCTCCTGTGATGTTATTTTTTACTTTATTCCAAATAGCTTCTGTATTGTCTCCCTTAAGACTTCTTTCCATTCAATCTGTTGGGAGATTATTTTCTAATTTTCCCCCCCACAGGGCTCTTACTTTCTCCAATGATTCTATTTTATTCATTTTTCACTTTTTTTCCTTTTATTCCATGTCCTTTCTCCCCCAAGATCCACATTTGACACCATTAAATAATGCTGTGACTCCATTCAAAAGCTGTCATCACTGTATACTTCACTAACTCAATCTTCCAATATAAAACGGCAAAACAATCATGGTTTTCAATTGTATTAATTTCTTTCTTATATATACACAGGGACAAAGTTAACACATTTGAAATACAAATCTTTACTAAGGAAATTTTCAATAATTACCATATTCATGACAATATATGATATATTCTCTATATACATATCTTTGTGATTCTTCATTTCTTACAGCAATCATTTTCTACGATACATTTTTCTCATCCCCACCTATTTTTAACTTCTTTATTGCACAAAGTATTTCCTATTAGCATAAATCCACACACTTCTGTGGCACTCTTATTTCACTCTGTTCCAAATAGCTTCCACGTTTCACAGTAAACTTTCATGACTTCCAATTTTGTTCAATTTGTGGGAAACTGCTTCTATTTATAATTCTCTCCCTGCAGTTGTTCCCATCTCATATTCTTCAATTATCAATTCCTTGGAACTTAAAATGAAACTATCACCGATCTCTGAATTCCTACTTTCATATATACATCTATAACAACCTAAATGACACCAATTCATACTTTCTGGTATACATTTTAGCCCTTTCCTTTATAGTGGAACTTACATTTTTACTTCCCTAGTGTGTCACAATTGCTTCTGAAGCGCTGCGATATTATTCCATCTTTGTTACTACTCGGTTTCTACTTCGCTTGAGCAACGCCCTCTGCTTCGGATCCAGTCGAGTTCTACTTTTGCTAACTTTGTGGACACGTCCAGATTCTTTTCCTTTCTTTTCGGCACTGGCATTCACACCACAATTGCATTGCCAATGCCGCCTTCTGTGCAGTTTTTCGGCTCCTTGGGACAAAGAGTTGCAGTCTATGAGTTCGCTGCATAGAGAGAGTGTCAAGAGAGCGAGCGAGCGAGAGAGAGAGAGAATCTATATGTGTAATCAGGGGTAGTCAACCTTGGCTCTTTTATGACTCGTGGACTTCAACTCCCAGAATTCCTGAGCCAGCCATGCTGGCTCAGGAATTCTGGGAGTTGAAGTCCACGAGTCATAAAAGAGCCATGGTTGACTACCCCTGGTGTAGGTCTTCTTCCTACCGGAAGGTGTTGTTTCGTGTCGCTTTCTTCCGGTGTGGAGCACAAGAAGCAGCCGAGGGCGTCTCCTAGCAACCAAGCAGCAGACGCTTGGGGCAGGGAGGGAGACGATCTCGGCCGAGAGGCTCCAGCCATGTCGAAGTTCGGCAAAAAGAAAGAGGCGGTGAAATCCAACAACGTTCTCCAGTCAAGTGCGCCCACGAAAGAGTAAGACCTGCCCTTTTCGCTGGAAGCGCTTTTTTCTTAATCTTTTCCTCTCTGCCCCGCTTTCCGCCGGCAAGACGAGGCTGGTGTCACACCTAGGGGGACTCCTCCTCCCATTCCTTGGGATACTCCTCCCTTTGAAATAAAGCGGGTTGTCAGTTACCTCCGATCGTGCGGAATAATGACAAGAACGTCTGAATGTGCTCTGGGCTTAAGTGTAGACTGTTTTAAGTTGTCAAGAGTGCCTGGAGTCTGTATCGATTGGGAGAGTATAAACAAATAGGGTTGCCAGGTGTCCACTATTTGAGTGGACAGTCCACTTTTTTCACATTATGTTCACTATTTTTTTTTCACAAAATAGTGAACATAATGTGAAAAAAGTGGACTGTCCGCTCAAATAGTGGACACCTGGCAACCCTATCTATTTCATAATTTCCCCTTTTAAATTGCTGTAAAATACTCATATTTTTTCACAAAATAGTGGACATTTTTTTTATTCAAAAGCTTTATGATGAAATGGTACGTAATCTAAAGCTGTACAGTATTTTTTTTTTTACTACTTAACCCCCCCCCCCCCCGCTTGTCCGCTATTTTTGGGAAGCAGACCTGGCAACCCTATAAACAAACCATGTATGTTGCCCTGGGTCCCGTAGAGAAGGGATAACGATGAATGACACATTGCAGCTGCTTTATTATTTTGGCAAAGAGTAAGTGTAAGCTAATTTATGGATCCAAATATAGTACTTTAATCTGAGAATGCAATGATGCAGACTTAATTTTTATACAACAGTATGCTACTCTGCTACTTTTACCAAATTGAAACACAGAAAGGTTCTTTGCTTCACTTTTGTGCAACTCAGTTTCATTTTCCAACCCAATGTCTGTGTAATCAAATACTGCTTCATTTGTACTCAGCCTTTACTGATTAATTTGCGGGGCTTTCTCGTGGATAACTTAAAAGATATCAGGAGTTTCAATGTAATAATGAAACACAATATAATCGCATGATTTCAGGAAGCACTTTTTGTCTGTCATCAAATAGGCAGATTGCTGAAGTGAAGGATAAATTAACAATATTCCCATTTTTCTGGTTAGTTTCAATTGTACTAAGCAACTATTTGTACTTAGGAGCTTTTCAAAAATTGAAAACAAATAAGAAAATATTTGCCATGTAACAAGAAAATACCATGTTAGAAGAATAAAGTTTTCATATTCGTATTACATTTCAGCCTCTGGTTTCTTTCGGGATCAGCTTCTACTGTAAATCCTCAAGGTACTTCACCTGAGTCAAAGAAAGGAAGATTTCCTATCTGGCCAGAATGGAGTGAAGCAGACATCAATGTAGAAAAGTGGGATGCTGGAAAAGGTGGAAAGGAAAAAGATAAATCTGGAAGAAGCCCTATTCTGGTACGTTTCCTATAAACTTATCTTTTTTTTTCTAATTCATCAATATATAGAAATTTATTCTTGTTGCATTTTTCTTACCTATTGAACTTTGAAGCTTAGTTGGGTGCCAATCTGGAAAGTTTGCATGCCATATGTGATACATGAGAAGAATTGTGGAGGGAAAGGTTACCATGGGTTTGTGGGGTTTTTTTTGATACTTTAATCACTGGGTGCAGTGCTTAAATCACCAATGATCTGTTTGTTGGCTAGTTGAGCTACTGTAGCTAATATTTGAGCTATAAAAATATTCAGCTTCATCATAACTTGTGGGGGAGAGCATGGCATTGGGGAATGTTTCTGCCTTTTATTTTGAGTTTGAGGATTGCAAGAGATGGGGAGAAGACTTGTATTAACTTGTAGTAAGTTTTCTACATGTCGGTCGACATCTATGACTCAACTTTACCAATGCTTTGCCTGTGCATATGTGTATTTCATGACCGTTATTTCATTGGTTGTATATTTTGATTGCTGCACTTGTTTCAGTGTGTCATAGTTTTGACACGCAGACCTGAATCTGCTTCTAAGATTTCAGGAGAGAATTTGGAATTTGATCAGGGGCAGTTGTTTGTCTTTTTGTTTTATAAGTGAACAAACAGTAAGTGAAGAACAGCAGAATGCTCCTTTAGCACACCCTTTGGACTCTCTGTTGCTTTTTTTAGCATTATAGTTGGGTTTCCCCCTGTGAAGCTTGCTAGACTGGTGGAGTTGCAACCTTGAAATTTCTCTGTCAATATCTTCCTTGTCCTTTGCAATGGAGAGTTGTCAAGTGATAATGGTGAGAAACACTCTTCAGCAAGATTTAGATATGAGGAAAATCAAACAGCTACCAACACTACAAAAGGCTAAATGTAGACCCTCTACAATAAATTTAAGATTTATGGTTTCTGAAATTTATGGTTTCTCATTTATTCCATATATCCTGTTATTAAAAATGAGAATGGTGGCAGAGGGCTAGTAGATGGTGAAGAAGCTTTTTTGTCTGTTATCAACCTGCCCAATGTGTATACAGAGTAAATACTATAGTGGACAATGAAGATGTCTCTATTTAAGACTTGTAATTGTTATGATATATTAGACATGGTTATAAAAAATAATCACATCGCAATTCAGCAAATAATCGCCAAAATTTTCTAATTGGCATAATTAGAAAAAAAATCTTTCCACAGAGTCAATATACAGAATAGTTTTATATTTTATTTTAAACTCCCACCCATAGGCCAAAAAGAAATAGATGCAAAATTTTGGGGCTATTTCCTCTGGTGACATTACTTACATTACTCAGAGTCATAGAAATTTTACCAATTCGGCATTAAAGAGTCAGCTGTTAGGATTTGCTTTAAATATAATAATACTTAGATTAACTCAGATCAGTTCATTAAATTAGCAGTTGGATTTGACTGAACGGATAACATCAAAGTACCACTAAATTCATTTAGTAAAGCCTAGATATGATTAAATAAAAATTCAACTAATGTTTGTTTTAATTAATGTTGCACAAAGCATGTCTTTGAAGATCCAGAAGGAAAACTTGAACTTCCCTCTTCATTGAAAGTGACTTTCTGGAAAAGGCCTCAAGAAATTTTAACAAATAAGGTAAGATGCACCTAATTTCTAGTTATCTATTTAAAATTTTGATTTTCTTTTTTAAAAAGTTTATTTTTTAACTTGGAGAATGCACAATAATAGAAAAAAGAATCGGAGTATCCTTTATTGCAAAACCAATGATTTCTAGAAATGTGAAATGTATTTCTTATAATTTAAAAGCTCACACTGAGCTCTTCAACAGGTTTTTATAAAAGGTTTGTCTTATTTTTTTGCACATATGATTTAGGCATGCCCATTTAATTATATTGTTAGCTATTAGAGGTTAATAAATGCTGGATCCAGATCTAGGAAGGAAATAAGATTCAAAGATGTAAATATAACATTATATTCCAAAAATTTGGAAGTTGTCTATATATATGAAAAATTATATATTATGCCTACATAGTACATAGTACATAGTACATACATAGTAGCAGAAAAGATAATTTTGTATTTGAAATATATACATTTACCAGAATTTAATTTTTTTTTAATAAAATAGCCCTCAGCCTTTGAGCTGGCCTTGCGTTGATGGAGAGAAAAAGGGTTAACTATATAATTCCATATGGTCCATGTTTAACTTACTGTTTGAAACTAAATAACATAAATATACAAGTAGTCCTTGAATTACAACCATTAGTTTAGCAACCGTTCAAAATTATAGCAGCATTGAAAAAAGTGATTTGCAAATGGTCCTCGTACTTATGACTGTCACAGCATCCCCATGATCACTTGATCAAAATTTGGGCGCTTGGCAACTGACATTTATTTACAATGATTGCAGCATCCCTGGGTTATAGGATCACCATCTGCAACTTTTTCAGCCAACTTCTGAGAAGCTAAGTCAATGGGGGAAACCAGATTCACTTAACAACCACATGATTCACATAACAACTGCAGTGATTTGCTTAACAATCATGGCAAAAAAAAAGATTGTAAAATTGGATGCAACTCATTTGATAACTTCCTTGCTTAGCAACAGAAATTCTGGTCTCAGTGGTTGTTATAAATTGAGGACTCTCTGTATTATTCTTATTTTGAAAAATAGTGTTTGCTGCCTCTGTTCTTTCACCATTTCAATATTTACTTTGGAAAAATAATATTACAGCAGTCTGATAACCTTTCTGCTTGAGGGAAAAAAGTATTCTTTTTTTTCAATGAAAGTTTAAAGGCACACAATTGTCTAAATCAGATTTCAAGAATTTGGAATTTCTATTCATTCAATAGTTTTTATATTTGTTCTATAGTCATATTTATTCAGAGATTTTGAAGGGTTTTCAAGTTTTTCTCAAATATATGTATAAGGAGAAAAACAGAATATGTCACCATGGAAGACATTACCTCTTCATACATTTTTTGGCCATTTCATATTAACAGTATTCTGGATACCTGATTTGTTACAAACACAGTATATATTGTTCAGCATACTTTCTTAATCAGTGTACAATTCTTTTGAGATATACTTTGATATATAGCCTTGATCCATGAAATATATGGATTTTCATTCTAATATTATTAACAATTCATGTATATGTTAATAGAATAATTAAATTTCTCATTACTTTTAGGTTCCTGTGGTAGTAAAAAATGAAAATTGGTTTGATCTTTTTTCACCAAACGAACATTTAATGGGCAGTGAGGTATGGAATAATCATCCTTTATAAGAAATAACATACATTGAATGTGCATTTGGATGAAATAAATATTTGTTGTTGCAAAAGTATGAAAGTGACTTTGATCTGAAAAAACAAGAAGTATCAAAACCTGTCATGCAACACAGTGAACTAATTTACTAAAGTACGACCATGCAGAGCGAGACAAAGATGGGATTAGACCCCATATCAGACAGCAAAATGTTGGCTCATTACTTGAGAACAGTGTAAATGAGCATTTATTTATTTTATTTAAATGCTGCCCATCGCCCCAATTGGGCAATTTTCATTAATTGTGGGTGATATATAGTGTAAGTTTATGAAAACTCAGTTTAGAGTTATTTAGTTAAAATGTTATATTTTCATTAGAAAATTGAAATGGTTTAGAATAGAGATGTTCTAGCAGTTTGTTCATTTCATATTTTTAAGTAAATTACTGGATTCATAGTTTTGCGTGCTTTTGCAGAGAGAAACTTCATTAAATACATTCATTCTTATTTGGAAATCTTTCAAAATTTCAAAATTATTGGGCAAATAATAGGACAAATCAGACTTCTGCATAAGACATGTGGAAATGACATAACCAAAAATAGTTAAATCTACCTACTCTGGATGTTTAGATAAAACCAAATCACTCAGTAGAGCTTATGTTTCTTATGCTATATCTATAATCTACATCTAACAATTTAATTATAATATAAATACAACTCATTTAAGATCATAGTCATAAAGAATAAAATTACATATTTATGTATAAGTACAGCTCACAAACGCCCCTCAAAATCAATACTTCACTAAATTGAGAATGTGTGATATGATTTCTATCGAGGTAACCTTACTAGGAACTAGAAATGAATATCATTAAATACTTTATTCTGCATATCAGAGCTGCTTGTTATGAAACTCAGTGAACATTATGTTTAAAGCTATGGTTTTCATTCAACCTGTATTAGTTAATAGTATCTTCTCCTCTTCCATATAGGGATTATCAGCATTTATTTCCAATTTTAAGGAAACTACAATTTTCATTAGTGTCCAGAATTAGGTAACTGTGATTTGTTTAAATATAATTCCAGGATTGGATTTTCATTTGTTGTTATTCCCCAAATTTAGGCATCAGAGGGTAAGTGGAACCCTGTATATTTTTTCGCTCTCAGGGCCATTTTTCTGCGGGGTTCCAACATTTGCACTCTAGATGACTATACTGTACATAGCTTTACAAAAGCTATAGGAGTTATCCAGGTCAGCAGTATTGCCGGAATATATAGAACAGTGATGGTGAACCTTTTAGAGACCGAGTGCCCAAAAACTGCCCCGCCCCCACTCTGCCCACCCACCCTGCTCCACCCTCATCCCGCCCATCCTCAGGGCCATTCATAGTCCACCGCAGATCACCCAGACAGCCCTGCAGCACCATGGTGGCCACAACCTTCGCCCACGCCCCTCAGCATCATCTGCTGCCCAGCTGCCATGTGCTTGGCTGCGCTGCTCCGCATGGGCCGCACACAGGGGTGACTCTCCTCCAGGGGGGGCTGCTGGTGAGGACGGGGCTGTGATGGGAGGCGGGTCTGGGACGACAGCGTGCGTGCTCACAGAGAGGGCTCTGAGTACCACCTCTGGCACTCATGCCATAGGTTCGCCACCACTGATATAGAATGTATCAGAATGGTTAGTCCACTTTCATTTATTTATGGAAAGAATTTGAATGCCAGAGCTTAGCTAACTTTTCTTATTTCCTCTACATCCTCTCCACATCTGGCTTCAGTTGATGAGATGGATAATAAGTGAAATATATGCAGTTTGGAGGTTGCACAATACAACTGCTTTAAGTGTGGAAGCTAAAACTAATGCTAATGAAATACCCCCAGTACCTCCAGTATTGTGGAAGCCATGGGAACATATCTACTCATTATGCAAAGCAATCAAAGGTCATATGCCATTGTATAATAGCTATGGAAAATATGTGGTAAAACTCTTCTGGATGGTAAGTGATCATTTAGGTATGTGTATGTTATATATTAGTTTTTTCTACAGTTTGTTAAATGAATTGTATTGTTTATTTAACTATCCATAGAAAAGGAACAATTGGGAATAGCGACTGCAATTAAGAAATTACACTACTGTTTAACTATTATTGTATATCCTACTGAGTATCTTTTATTGCATAAGAGCTGAATTTAATGCACAAAGTCTTTATATTATTACACATTCATATAATCCAAAGTGAATAAAGTCTAGATATACTATATATTTTACATATGATTGTTTTACTTTGATCACTTTACAGTAAACCTTAAATACATGCATTTAAAAGTGCACTTTAAACGCATGGCACATCTGTTTTGTCGGTCTGAAAAGGCAAGAAGTATTATTCCCTTCTGAATGTTTTACACACCCCTACTTTGCAGTGTTTGCTATAATGCATCAGAGCCATAATACATTTACATGTTTCAGAAAATCATAAGTAGTCCGGTAGTCTATTCTCATACATTCCTGTAATCAGAAAGATAGAAGTAGCACAATCAGTAGGAAAAAGTATCAGATATTTTCAGTATAAAATCATAGAATCTCTTGAAATAACTTTTCACATAGAGCCTCCTTATTTTAGTCCTATTAAATATTTTAAAATGACCAAATATTTTTCTTATGCTATTTTATTGTACTGCATCTGGCTTAGGGAAATACCAACTCTGTGTAACCTACCATTTCTCAACCTTTTTTGTCCTGGAGAAACCATTGAAATAATTTTTAGTCTTGGGGAACCCCTTCATAAACAATTGTTATATCTGTAGCTATTTTTCACAAAATTACAAAAACTTCACAATATAATTCAATTCTCACACAATTCATGTTTTGTAATGTATAGAACAATAGCAAAAGAGCAGGCCATGTGACTCATGATGCATAAAAATTTCTACCACTATAAGCCCTAACCATGTTCAAAAAATGCTGGTTATTTTTTTCTTTAATCATGATCTCTTCTCTGGAACCTTAGTTGAGAAAAGCTTATTTAACATCTGGCAATGCATGCATACATTGAATACAGATTCAATTTATTATTTGTGGAAATAATTTTGTTGTAAAAAAAAAGTATCTTCTTGGCAAGAATTATAGGGAGAGGCTAAGCAGAAAGTGTCAATTATCATAATACCAGTAACGTTGTGAAAAAAGCCAGCACTAGGTTAGTTGAATAATGTTCACAAGTTGCATTGGGCACTCTTGGTCATTTTCTATATACTTCCTTCTAGCACATATACAAGTACCCAAACAGTCATCTTTAGTCACCCATCATTGTATTTCCTGTGTTCAGTCAAATTAATCCATACTGATAAGGGATGCTGATATCCACACTGTCACTATATTTTGGTTGTCATAAAAAATGATGGCAAACAATTTGTTTGTTATGCTTTATAACAAGAGAATGTGCTGGTTAGTGATATATAAAAGCATAAAAGCATATTTTTGCCATAGTAAAAGACACATGAATGTGGCCAGTTGAGGATAACTCATCAGTACCCTTCTGCAGATGATTTTTAAATTACTAGCTGTATTGTACATCTGTTTTACACCTGGATTTCACTGAATTTTCATGTTGTTCTTTCTATCTAGTGAAATTATAATGAGTGCCAACCTTTGAGAAGGTCACACATATTTTTGTAATGAGTCTCTTTCTCATTACTACCCCATAATACTTGTTTTTCATTTTTTCTAGGGATGTTGGAGAAAGATCATTGTGGATGACAGTATACCTTTCAGCGAAGACAATTTCATGCTGCTTCCAACCACAGCATGTGAAATTGAACTTTGGCCACTGATATTATCCAAAGCCATCATTAAATTAGCAAATAATGAGTATGTTTTCCTGTTTTGAGATTAAAAAAAGAAGCAAAGTCAGAACCTAATATAGAGAGGATGCTTGTTTGCTCTGAATTTATCAATTAATTATCTTCTTGAACCTTTTGTTAAACCTTGGAAGCTTCCCAGCTTCAACAGAATATATTAGTACAAAAACATCAGTCTTGGGGGAACTCTTCAAATTTTTTATTCCATTACTCAAACGTATTTGGAGCACCCCTCGAAATACTAGTACTAAATTTCTTGCAATGTAGGAAATGGATCTATTTGTGTAGATCCAGTTGCAGTTTAAATTTCAAACCTTCTGTTTAGAAGAAATGGCATGTTTATTAAACAGAAGAGTACTAAAACAATGCTAGTGCAAGTTAAAGTTATAACTGCGTAACTTGATCTGTGCTAACTATTATAGTTATATAATAACTATGTAAAACAGTAGGAACCATACAAAGTAAAAGGCAGCAATGAAAAAATAGGTGCTACAGCTATAATATTTAGATTCCATATTGTCAGGGTGGTGGCTTGTATGCTTACTTTGAAAAAAAGCAAACATACTAGCATATTTTTCTATGCATTTCTGAAGCACAACTCATGTGCCCAAAACAATTTGAATCTGTTGTTTTGCTAAAATTGATAGACTAGGTCATCTCCCAATTTTTTTTTTTGCAACCACATCTATGTCTAAGATTTAATCTTAAATTTTAAGATTGTTTTTGGTTCTTTTTTCTATTCTGATTTATTTAGACCTATGAGAATCTAAGTTCAGCAATATAGATGTGTGCTATGTTAAAAGATTTAAGATAGATATGTAAGTTTTTATAACTACAGTACGGAAGAAATACATTTTTGTTGGCTGTAAATTTTCTGGGGTTAAAAGATTGTATATGAAATATGGAAAATTGGGGTTGTCACAGAACATGAAGAGATACAGACAGAATAGAATATTCCTATGTTAATTGTCACATCTTTTATTGTTCGTAGTATAAATGAGGTTGGGAAAAGGGAACTAGGAGAATTTACAGTTCTGCATGCACTTACTGGATGGATACCAGAAATTATTCCTCTCCAGTAAGTTCTATTTTTTCTAATGTATACTTTTTAATTGTTGCATGTGCTGTACTCTGTAATTATTTTGTACTTGGATCATCAGGCCTTTGGGTAAAAATACCATGATCCCACAAGTTTTGATAGGGTTGGCATGTTCTGAGTCTCATCAATTAAATACTATCATTTTAAAGGACTCAGGGGACATGCTTTCTCTGTTACAGCAGCTTGGGAACCATGCTCATCTCCAAGAGTCAGATGAGACTTTAGAAGGCCTTTAAAACTAGGTTCTTTCCCCAGGCATAGGTCCAGGTGTATGAGTCCATTGTAATTATGATCGGTCTGTGTTTTATGCCCCGGACAGTGTATTTTACTCTTTTATTTTATCTTATTTTTATATTGTGAGTGTTTTAATACTGTCACATGGCAGATGGGTGACTATATAAAAGGAATGAATGAATGAGAACAAAGACAACTTATATAAAAGTCCATGTTTTAAACATAAGTTCCTCATATTTTGAAAATTGTAATATGAGTTGCTAAAAGATAGAGAAGAGTTATTGTTGTCAAATTACTCTGAGTATGATTGACTGGATCCAGTCCTCCACAGTATCTTGCTTTCTTTGGAATGTAATGTAAAACTATTACTATTGCTGTTTATATAATATTTAATATATAAGATAAAGGTGACTTTTAAAAAATGATTATTTAAAAATTAAATCTTTGGTAAATGGAATCAATTTGAAATTAATTCTATAGTTGTCTGTAACTATGTGTTTATATGTAGAAACTATATTTTATTGTATGTATTGCTCATTTTACATATATCTGAATTTTAATCAGTTCTGCTAACTTGATCATTTTCTTAACTTTTAGCTAATGCTTTTCTTTTTTCAGTATTTAAAAACAGGTTATCAGATTCCCCAAGCTCAAAAAGATCCATATATTTGTAGTAAATTAACAATAGGCATTATTTCAAATATATATTGTATTTATTATTTTTAAAGATCTGGATATTTGGATAAACTTTGGGAATTCATAAGAGACATTGTGCCAGAATTTAAGTTACCAGAGGAATCACTTCCTGAATCCAGACAGTCACTTCAAGATGCAAAAAAGGATTTGAAAGCATCTGACATAAAAAATGATACTACGCCTATTGTTAAACAACAAGAAAAACCAGAGAAAGCTGAGAAAGCTGGGAAAGGTATGTTTTAAATTGTCCACACTATCAGACACACAATGAAAGAGTACCAGAAGAATAACAAGGTTATACTGCTGAGAGATAAAACAGGTACAACAGAATTACACTAATCTTTCCCACAAATTATTTATCAGGATTACCATGGCCAGTTCTGTCCCGAGATCAAATCTGAATCAGATTGCAAAAGCTCAAGATAATCAGTGTTTTCCAAAAATGCCAGCAAGTATACATATGCCAGCCTTTCCAATATATTGCACAAAACATTATATAAAATATTTTGATGCCCAAACAAATCTCATCTTTGTTGTTTGCCATCCTAGCTGTTGCCTTCCTGTCCTTTTGTATTGTATTATTATTTTCTTTTCCATTTAAGAGCAATAATATAATATTTTGTTATAGTATAACATACACATTTAGCTCTGGAGAAAAAAAAAAGCTCATTCTTGTTTCTAGCTACATTAAAGATAGGCATATATGTATGCACAAAGGTCATGGAAACTACCAGCTATGCTCTTTCCTAGAGTAGACAAAGTTATCATCCCCAGCTGAATTCAGCTGAATCACAGCTGAAGAGTATTACTGCAACATATAGAGTTTTCTTTGAAAAATGTTTAGAATATAGGGAGTAAAATTTTTGATTGAAGACATTTCTTTAAAATAAGGGATTTTGCAGGTACATCATCTTCAGTTGCTTCCAATTTGTTGGTCATTCCAAATTATTTTTAGTTATGATTTTTAAAACATTGAAGGGCTGAGACTTGGTACTTGAAATATAACTTTTTCCTTCATTTTTCTCTCTCATTTACTATCTCTAGGTCTCTCTGTAATATATTTGGGTAGGGTATAGAAAATCGATCAGCAAAGTTTTATTAACATTCTAATTGCTAGAATCTTCTTTTACAGGTAGTCCTCAACTTATAATCATTCATTAATGACTGTTACAACTGCATTGAAAAAAGTGACATATGACTGTTTTTCATACTTATGACTGTGGCAACATTCCCCATGGTCCCATGATCAAAATTTGAAGGTTAGCAACCGGGTCATATTTATGACAGTTGCAGTGTCTTGGGATTGTGTGATTACCTCTTGTGATCTTCTGACATGCAAAGTCAATGGGGAAATCAGATTCACTTAACAATCATGTTATTAACTTAACAATTGTAGTGATTCACTTAACAACTGTGGTAAGAAAGGTCATAAAATGGGGCAAAACTCACTTAATGAGAAATTTTGGACTCAACTGTGGTCTTAGGTGAGAACTACCTTAGGTAAGGTAGTCCTCACTTAACAATTGCTTAGCAATCATTCAGAACTATGACAGACCTCCCCAAAGCGACTTAAAAATCCAGCTACAGATTTCAATGGCTGCACATACCTCCATGGTCACATGACTGCCTTTCAGGCACTTGGAAATCAGTTTCCGGTATAAAATGCCCATAGGAATATAGGGATTCACTTCATGACCACGGCATTCACTTAACTGCTGCAAAAAAAGATATAAAATCAGATCTGGTCACTTGGGAACCTGAATTTATGACCATCATGATTTAGGGCAAAAATTCTGGGCACCATTATAGTCATAAGATGAGGACTACCTGTATGTCCTTAACCCTTGGCTTATCGGAAATAGAAACAGAATTTCTGGGAGCTGAGAGTCTTCAGTACTATATTGTTTGAGACAAGATTTGCTTTATAATCTGGGACAAAGTACTGTAGTATTTGTTACTCTACTGATTTTTTTTTTTAGAAAAGTCAGATCAAAAAGAAGTTGGAAAGAAAAGAAGCAAAGATGGTGAAAAGGATAAACTTAAGCCAGCTTCTCATTCTGCACGAATGTCTGCTGACTTTCAAAGTTCTCTTCAGATATTTCTTGATGGTAAGATTATAAAACTTCTTAGATATATGTGCATTGGCCACAAAAGCTTTATTGAGATTATAAAGTATATGAGCTCATAAATTAGCAGAAGTATTTATAATTGAAATCTGAGCTCTAATTCCGAATCTCTATAAGTGTAAGATAAAATCTTTCTTACTTTATGTGTCAGGGTCAGATCAGTAACAGGTTATCTGACCATTATTTGCTTTTCATACTTTTAGCTCATATTCATGGTTACAAGCCTTGGATACTGGCTCCTTCTCAGAACCAGTTAGCAAAGATAACACCCTACCAATAACATGCATTTATTTATTTGTTATTTGTTTATATCACAAGGATATAATATGAAGAATTCTGTCACAAGAATATAATATGATGATTCTCTCTCCATATTATCGGTCACGACAATGATACCATTAGTGAGATTCTGTGGGATGCACTGCTTTCTGTACATCATTGCAGAATCAGTCAGACTGCTAGCCTGTTTCCTGTCCTCCTCATCCCAAAGCATGGCAGGTGTTTGTTTTTTGCATCTTGGGAGAGTTTGGGAGATTTTTAAGGGGCAAAAGTCTTTCTGTCAGCTTTACAGAGACTGTAGGCTACAAAAAAGGCACAGTAAACTGTGGTAAATGGCTCAAGGTTGATAAGGAACTGAAATATTTTTTCCTCACTTCAGTGAGTCTACAAAAAAAATTTCAGAGAAATGAATGTCAAAAGTTGAACAAAGGTACTTCACACAGTTTGTTTCAACACTAGTCAATCTGATATTGACCCAGATTTCATTTTACATGGTGTTCTGAAGAACTTTTAAAACTATAAATACAGTTAATTACTGATTAAAACAATAAATACAAATACAATACAATTAATTACTGATTGTCATGCTATTCTTATGGTGAACGTCTATGAGGAAATCCCTGTTTGGATTCTGTAAGCCGTCTCCTCTTTTAACACTGGAGATTTATTTTCCATTCAGTCTTGCTCCTACTTAGCTAAGTTGTCTCCTCAGCATGGTCTTGCTCTGCTTGTTGTGATTAAAGTTGTTGGTTATTTGTGACTCTCTTTGTGTCACTTTTCTCTGCTCTTCAGCTTTGACCCGCTTAGAAGATTATGAAGAAAATCAATTCTACTAGGTGTTGTAAATAGCCAATAATTTTCAGTTATTCATAAAATACAATTTAATAGAAATTTGACAAAAAGTAAACAAAAAATTACACACAACAAATATATATATATTTCAGGAAATGTACATATTTAATTTTTAAAACCCCAAATAATGTGTTGATTTTAGGTAGTTACATTAGTCGATTACATCAAATGTTTCTAATTGTAGCTCTTTTTGAATAAAATAGAAACAATTTAAATGTAACAGATTATTATTTAGACTTTAAAACTACTTATTTTGAACTAGCTTCCTTGATATTTTTCAGAATAAGTTACCTAATTGAAACATATCCCATTTCTCAAATCTCATTCTTGCATTTATAGCACCATGTTTAACATGGGATATTATCAGTTCATATTATGTTATTACCTACAACTTTATTTCTTTTCTTTTATACTGTTTAATAGATTCAATGGGTTCTTTGTAGGTTCTGCAACACCATTGCAGCCGCAGTTGGTGGTGTATGCTTGCTACATGCCTCTTTATGTACCTGAAAAAAAGATCTTCATATTAGAGAAAATGGTAAGGATTTATATACTTTTCCTTTTAAGAATAAATTAATAATAATAACTATAATAGATAACAAAATAACAGAGTTGGAAGAGACCTTGAAGGTCTTCTAGTCCAACAACCTCCCCCCCCCCCCGTTTAAACAGGAGACCCTACAGCATTTCAGACAAATGACTGTCCCGTCTCTACTTAAAAGCCTCCAGTGATGGAGAACCCACAACTTCTGGTTAATTGTTCTCACTGTTAGCAAATGTCTCCTTAGTTCAAGCTTGCTTTTCTCCTTGTTTAGTTTCCATCCATTGTTTCTTGTCTTGCTTTCTGGTGCTTTGGAAAATAGGTTAACCCTCTTCTTCTTTGTAGCAGCCTCTCAAATTGCGGAGAAGTCACTGGAGGTTTTTAAGAAGAGATTTGACAACTGCTTGTCTAAAATGGTATAGAGTCTCCTGCTTGAGCAAGAGGTTTGACTAGAACAGGCATGTCAAACTCGCGATGTCACATGACGTCGCGCAACGTATCGGGACTTTTTCCCCATTGCCGGCAATGGGGTGGGCGTGGTTTTGGCGTGACGCATCCAGCCCATGGGCCGGCAGTTTGACATGCCTGGACTAGAAGACCTCCAAGGTCCTTTCCAACTCTGTTATTCTATTATTCTGTTAATATTAATAAGATGTTTCCTTGCTTCAGATTTAAATCTTAGCACAAGTTTTTACTCGTTCTACTGAGTCTTATAACAGAGTCAACATTAAAATGTTTCCTGAGAATATATCTTTGCATTTTGTATATAATCAAGCTGCTTTTATTATATCGCAGGCTGATTCTTCTGAAAAGTTACGACAATATGGTCTTTCCCACATCTATAGCCATCCTGCACTGATAACTAGAACAAGGTCAGGTCCTTTAGTGGCTTCACCAAAACCACCACCTGTACCTCGGTGGAAACTTATACGCCAGAAAAAGGAAACAATTGTGACAGATGAACCCCAAGGTGTGTCATTTCAGCCTTTATTTCTATTCTAATCTAATCTAATCTAATCTAATCTAATCTAATCTAATCTAATTCTAATAAAAGAATAAATTCAGATATATAATATTGTTTTTTTCCTCATGGTTTCACCAAGATTTCCTTTTGAGAATCAAAATGGTTGTTTGTGAAAATGAAAAATATATTTTGATTGCTGTTTTAGGGATGTAATACTGATTTAAAACCATTCTATATGTTTCATGTAATGTTCTCCAATGCCAGATCAATTGTTTTAAAAAAACAGATCTATCACGTGCTACCTGCCCCCCCTCTGCCATATCTGTTGGGCCCTTTGTTATTTGGAGTGTCATGATTGCCATGGAGGCCATGAACTCCTGAGTTATCCTGGATTCAATGTCACAGGTGGCAGGTTAATGTCCCCAAGAGCCATCAGTCTTAGGAACTCTAGCATCTACCTAACCATGGAATCCATCAGCTCAAATAGGGATGATGCTAGGCTACAGGGAGGACAGTAGCCTCAGTTCTGTTTGCATGGGCTCTATTCAGCCAGAGGGTCTCACAACTGACTATCCATGGAGTAGATCCTCTAAAAACCCTCAGTGGTTTGCACAGGATAATAGCCACCATCATCCCTTTTTCCTCTGGGATCGTGGTGATACAAAGCCTGGAAACCAGGTGAAAATCTTCCTAGGATGAAACACCCACACCCACCCCTTTCCAGGCCATCCAGGTTTCAGTTATGCACACCAAGTCAGTGCTATCTTCTATAATCAAATTGTGGACAAGGGCAGATTTTGTACATACCAATCTGGCATTCAGAAGCAGCAACCAGAGGCTAGGGCCACTAGGAATCTATTAACCTGGCCCTGAGGTCAAGTTAAATAATAATAGAATGCTTATATCAATAGATATAAATAACATATCTCTCCCTGTCTTTTTCTAGTAACATGCAGTTCAAGAGAAAATATTTTTGTATTTGCATTTTTGTGATCCCTTCATATGGCAGGCTGCGGAGCAGAAAGGGAAATGGAAAGAAAACATTAGTCAATTAATAACCTTGAGTTTGTTTCTACAATTTTGGAAGAGGATGGGCAACCAAATTATTATCTTTTTATCCACATTGCCATTCTTATTCCATTATATGCAACACAGGATAAATATGTGGAAGATTACAAAATTGTTCACAAGAACAGTACTGATATAATACATAAGCATGCAAAAGTGAGAAGCATTTGACTTTGCATGATTGCTCCCATATGTGTGATTCACATAGTAAATCTATTTGAAATATATTTCACATGTGTGTGTTAGGTAATGTACAGAGCAAGAAAAATTAATGGACTTCAAGTAATAATGTATAGTATTATGATAAAGGCTCTGATGGAAAAAAATCTAATTATGGAATTTCTACAAATATTCCAATTTGCCTACATTGTCCTTGAAAGCAGTTTAAAAATTGCATTTAGTTCTGAACAGAACTGCTGCATTGCTAACTGGAATCAGTCATGACAGATGGTGTTCAGTTAGGTGCTCCTGTTAATGGGATGGGTTTCCTAAAATGAGTGAACAGATGAGTAATTCCCTTCTGCACTTGAAGTCTTTTTTCCACCATCAAAAATGAATTTTGAAGATTGAATGATTCTATATAGATTCGCCTGTTCAAGTGTGTTGAAAGAAAACTTCAACCATATAAGCAGGTTTATGAACTTTGGCTTGAATCTGTAAATGTTATGCAATACGGTATGTCCTTATGTAACAGCTTTCTACTTGAATCTGTAAGTTTACACAGCCTGCTCTAACTTCACTAGTCCCATGTTATAAAGGTAGTCCTCAACTTACAACATTTCGCTTAGTGACCGTTTGAAAGGTTATCCAATGCAACGAAGTTTAAAGATAACAGTCATACAGCAAATATCTAGAGTCTTGAAATTACCCATCAAAAGACTAAATGTGAACAATAGACTGAAGAGGACATGTTGCAATGTTTTGCAGTATGCTAATTATATGTTACAATTTAAAGAAACTATTTCTTATATACAATAATATCTATATATAAATTTAGTGTATGCAGATTTATGAAAATCTATATTCTAATTTGGCAAATATATATTTGTTTTTTGCATGAAACTGGAATGGCTGTCCTAACATCATAAACGTATTGACCTTCCAGAGAACAAGTCTGAGTCTGTTGTCTTTGTACAGGATGTTTATTTCTTGCATTTCAGTGGTTGTTGTTTCTTTTCAGAAATTGTAATTAAAAAACCCGAACAATTTATTGAGCTTGCTAGTCCTTTTCTGAACTTCAAAGTTCCTGCTATACCTATACCAAGAGACACGTAAGTAGATCAATCAGTGGGCTTCACTGAGTATAATTCAGTATTGTCTGGTGGCAATAAATACAATTAAAATTATTTTAATTATAGTACACCATTGAGAAGTATGGGAGTAATGTAGAGCAGAGGTCACCAGCCTTTCTTGGTTGGCAGACTGGAGGTAAAGGGAGATGGAAGCATTTTACATGCGCATGTGTGCACGTGCACACACGGAGTCACGAGCATGAATGTGATACAAATGGGGCGGGGCTAGCGCTTGCGTGATGCTTGCTAGCCCTGCCCCGTTCTTGCATGACACAGCACCATCCGTTTTTGCGCCTACAGCACGGTGGTGGCATTCTGTTTTCCCCCAGAGGCGTGACGGTGCCCCGTTTTCGTGCAGTATGGCAGCATCCCATTTTCACGTGCTGCGGCCATGGCTCTCTTGCGAGTGGGGGTGTGTGCATGCACACATGCACACACTGGCCAGCCTGTCCCACGGCCCAGTGGCCAGGAGGACACGGCCCACTACTGGCCGTGGCCCACAGGTTGGGGACCCCTGATGTAGAGAAATGAAAACGGTCTATTTCAGGGTAATTTTATTCTTATAAAAATATAAAAATTATTGTAAAAGTTAAATTTAAAAAATCTTATGTGGAAATGTAAAATTTTCTAGGTTTCCAAAACAGTGAAATGTGGTTGAAATAATGTTATGTTTTAGTTTTATTTCAGTATAGCAACGTAATGCTGTCAAAACATCATGAGTATACTTTTTAAAAAATTGGAATGTTGTTATAGCAGCTCCTATATATGGAACTTTTAAATTTCTGTTACATATTAATATTATTTTTCATTTTTTAGCAATAGCAATAGACTTATATACCGCCCTGTGGTACTTTAGAGCACTCTCTGGTGGTTTATAACGTTAGCACATTGTGCCCAGCAATCTGGGTCCTCATTTTACCAACCTCGGAAGGATGGAAGGTTGAGTCAAGTTTGAGCCCATCAGGATTGAACTCCAGGCTGTGGACAGAGTTAACCTGCAATACTGCATTCTAACCACTATGCTATCAGGGCTTCTCATTTTAAAAATGTATTTTTCAATAATATGCTATTGCCTGGAAAAATACAAATAATCTGCAGGCTCTAGTAATCCATGTAAAGGAACGCAGTGGAGAAATAGGACTAAGATTAAAGAAGACCATATGAATGATAACAGGTACAGCAACTAACCTTAGAATTGACAAAAATATTTAAGTGGTAGATAGCTTCTGCCTTTTAGGATTTACTATCAACAATAAAGAAACCATCTGTCAAGAAATATGCTACACACTAATACTTGATAGGATAGCAATGAAATCCTTGGAACAGATAGCCGGATGCTGTGACATGTATATACCTTCAAAGATCAGTCCAGGTAATCCTCGACTTACAACAGTTCATTTGGTGACTGTTCATAGTTACAACAGCACTGAAAAAATGACTTGTGACCCTTTTTCACACTTATGAACATTGCAGCATCTCCATGGGTCATGTGATCAAAATTCACATGCTTGGCAACTGATTTATATTTATGATGGTTGCAATGTCTTGGGATCACATGATCCCCTTTTGCAACTTTCTAACAAGCAACGTCAATGGGGAAGCCAGATTCATTTAACAACTGTGTTATTAACTTAACAACTGCAGTGATCCACTTAACAACTGTAGCAAGAAAGGTAATAAAATGGAGCAAAATTAACAACTGTCTCGCTGAGCACCAGACATTTTGGGCTCAATTGTGTTCATAAATTGAGTTCTACCTTTACTAATCATGCAGTGGTTTTCCCTGTGATAATGGGATTCAAAGACTATTAACACTTTTAAATGTTGGTGTTGAAAACTCTTGAGAATGCCATGGAAAGCCAAGAAAACAAATAGATCATAAAACAAATCAATCCAGAGTTCTCATTTGATGTATAAATGATCAAGCTCAAATTATAGTATGATACAAAGACCTAGCTGTCAAGAGAAGGCTCTAATCCTGGGAAATCTGAAAGGAAAGGAAAAAAGAGGATGATCAACAGCAAGTGGATGGACTCAGTTAAGCTCTGAAAAACTTGAAGGGTGAGGTAGAGGACATACCATCCTGAAAAGGTCAAACTATGTGGTTGCTAAAAGTTGACAAATAATTGATTTTCAATAAAATATCTCCAGAAAGAAAGAAATACAACATGACATATATCAAAACTTCCCTTGGATTGACATTATATTAGAGATTGAGGGATATTTTTGAAGCAGAGTAGAACATTCTTTCTGCAGTTAATTGTATTCAGGATGTTTTAATATTTGAAGGCCTTTTAATATTATGTGCTACATTCTTCTATTATACTTTATGTACCATGGACCAGATAATATCTAAATAGAAATATCACTTCAAATCTTCCTTGTTTATAGACCTTGAATCAAAACCATTTAACTGATTGTGGGATATACATCTCGGTTGGTTTAAGATGAGGAGCTAAGTGAATGGGGGAGGGGGAATTAACAAATATAGAGTTGTTGCCACAGAAAAAGGTTTGTGTGTGTGTGTGTGTAAAGACTAGAATTTGAAAGCAATTTCCAGGATGCGTACATAAATATTTATTTATTTGATTTATATTATTTGATCTATATTCCAAAGCAGCTATTCAATAGAGAAATAAAGATTTCAGGGTATCTGGAAATGGCGATGCATATATTTAGTCCATGTATCAAAATTAGGGAGATAAAAATATTCAAAACAAGAAGATGAGGATTTAGCTTGCTTTTATTTTTAAGAGAAATGTTTATTTGTATTTCCTTAGCCACTTTCCACCATCCACTTTTAAAAAGGGATCTCTTCCAGCATCCAGCCTTCCTTCTGTCACTGAAAGTGATGAAAGCGTGTTTGACAGTTCTGGAGATACGAATCTCAGTTTAGAGGAAAACTCTCAGGTTAAGTTTTTATTATTTATTTATTTAGTATTTATTTATTTATTTATCCATCCATCCAATTTCTATAGCTGCCCAATTCAATCAAGTGACCTGAGTGGCTTACAATTCTAAAATTTTAAAGCAATAAAAACATCCACAAAATAAATAACTATAAACAGCAGTCGTGATGATCAATCAACTAATAGTAAAAGCCAACTTGTGGGGCCCTTAACACATTTAGAGCCCCAGGCCTGGATACATTGCCAAATTTTTAAAGCTTTGCAAAAGGCCGAGAAGGGTCTAATCGCCAAGTGGAGAATATTCCGTAGGGCAGGGGTTCAAAGCCTGTCTTCTAGTTCCCACCAGTTGACACTCTGGGTGATGGGATCTGCAGCATGCCCAATCTGTTGGATCGGTTGGATGAGTAGAAGCTCTTGGAAAAAGACAGTTTCTCCTGGTCTCAAGCCAGGAACTGCATCTTGAATTGCACTCAGAAACACACTGGCAGCCATTGCACCTCACGGAGTAGTTGGTATTACATGTGCCATACCAGCACAATTTATTTATTACCCATGCAGCCATATTTTGCACCAATTGAAAATTCCAACTTTTTCAGAGGCAGCTCCATGTAGAGCACTATGTATATTTATTTTTATATTTATATAAATAGATGTTATGTTTATTTTATATATCTTTATACATTTATATTTAACTAAAGTCTAATACAAGGTGATGTCCAGATGAGTCATGCCAACCTCCACAGAGTGGAAAGATCTACTTAAGATAGTTGACCCCAATGCCTCATTGATCCAGATCAATTCTCATGAGTCATTGGGGATTTCCCCTACAATCTGGAGTCAATTCCTCTGAATACGTAGACAAACTTTACAACAGAGCAGGGACCAGGGATTGGTTTTTAAATCCTTGTTTGCTTTTTGATTTATCAAGGATTTTCAAGGAATGAAACAATTGAAGAGACATATAGAGCAATGGGAGAGAATGATCTAAAGTAAATTTCACAAAACACAAAGAGACCTCATGCTTGAGTCTACACACCATGGCAATACAGGCAGCAGGCAATCTATTTTTCTGTTCTTACTGCAACAGCTGACCTGTTGGCCTATTCAGGTTGAGCTCCTCCCTTATAAAGAATGAGGGCAAGAAGATCTCATCTGAGGCTACTTGTGCAACATTTGACTAACATTTCACTAATACAGTTGTTCAGATATAATCTAGTCTACATTCCACACGGGCATACTATAAAAAGATAACTGAGCTAAAGTCCTAAGACAGACGTGTCAAACACAAGGCCCGGGGGCCGGATGCGGCCCGCGAACTGGTTTCATGTGGCCCGCAAAGCCATCCTGGAAACAATGAGGGAACGGCCCCCTCTGCCTTGGCCCTGGCCCAGGCCAGCCGGGAGCCAATGTACAATTTTGTGGTGGCCATCTATGCTGAAACGCATTCAGTCTTAGCTCCAGAACCCCCCCCCCGCATGACCTGAGAGGAACAGTGAGGCTCCTCCAGTGGACCATGCCTTGGCACTTGCCCTGGTCCCACCCCCTTCTGCCAGAGACCCTCAGATCTATCCCACTCCTGCCCAGGCCCCCACAGGCACCCTTGACACGAACGATGTAGAGCTGGCCACACCCATCCAGTAGGCCGCACCCACCCTGGCCACACCCACCAGGCCCCCTGAGGGCAATCGCAATGCTGATGTGGCCCTCAATGAAATTGGGTTTGACACCCCTGTCCTAAGAGATTATCTGAGAATAATTTTGATTAGTTAGTTATGAGAATGTGGATATAAAACTGTACGGCAATATTAGCTCCACCCCTTGTAAACTGTATCCTTACCCCATCTGACTCTTTCAGGAAGCTGACTGGGCATGATCAACTGGATTGGAGAGAGGGTCAATGTTTCACAAAGGGAAGGAGTAATGTTGGTTGTCCTGAAAATAACATTTTAAGTAACAATCAAAGAAATTTATTCCTCATGAAAAAGTTGTTTATGGTTCCAGTCTATTTTGGACCATTTTCACTAAGTTTTTAACTTTCCCCTTTTAGGAAATATTGTTGAGAAAGTGGTGAGATTACAGTTAGAAGAAATAGCTTCTCTGACTAACTTTCAGTTTGTTTTAGGCCCTGGATGATTGTTGTAGTTGATAACTTTAATTAAGACTTGATTGGGGATGATTTTCCTGGTCTTTTCTGTTAGTAGCCTTTATTACCATTAATTATCACATTTATATGGGCTCCTTATAAAAGTTGAAATTTGGTGGCATTGGGTTATGGTGTTTTCACTCCTTCTGGAATGAACAGTCCCATTCAATAGTTGAACAGAATAACAGAGTTGGAAGTGACCTTGTAGGTCATCTAGTCCAACCCCCTGCCCAAGTAGGAGTCTCTACACTATTTCTGACAAATGGCAATCCAGTCTCTTCTTAAAAGCCTCCAGTGATGAAGCACCAACAATATCTGAAGGCAGTCTGTTCCATTGGTTAATTGTTCTCACTGTCAGGAAATTTCTCCTTATTTCCAGGTTGAATATCTCCTTGATCAGTTTCCATCTGTTGTTCCTTGTCTGGCCTTCAGGTGCTTTGGAAAATAGGTTGACTCCCTCCTCTCTGTGACAGCCCCTCAAATATTGGAACACTGCTATCATGTCACCCCTGGTCCTTCTCTTCACTAGACTAGCCATGCCCAGTTCCTGTAACCGTTCTTCATATGTTTTAGTCTCCAGTCCCCTAATCATCGTTGTTGCTTTTCTCTGCATTCTCTCCAGAGTCTCAACATCTTTTTTATAATGCAGAGACCCAAATTGATTGCCGTATTCTAGGTGTGGTCTTACTAAGGCTTTATAGAGTGGTATTAGTACCTCAAGTGATATTGAATCCCTCTTTTAATGCAATTTAGGAATGCATTGGCTTTTTTTTGCTGCCGCCGCACACTGTTGGCTCATATTTAATTGATTGTCCACTAAGACTCCAAGATCCCTCTCTATCCCATTTTTTCAGCCATTGATAAAATAAGTTCCGTGTTTGAAAATATTCTGTGCCTTCTTTTTCTTTGATTCTCAGTGTAAGTCTATCCATTTCAGCACAGTCCAGTATTTTCTTGATTATCTCTTCATCCAATAGTGTTTTTTCATTTTTCCAGTGCTGAGTAAATATAATCCTTGCTGCTGTTAATACATGTAATGTTAAATATACACATTTTTTATCATTTTTTTGGGGAATTAATAAACCTAATTTTAAAAATTCAGGTTTAAAATCTATGTGTTTCCCTAACATCTTTTCTAACCAAGCATGTATTTTTGTCCAAAATTTGTTTGCTTTAACACATGTCCACCACAGGTACCAGGATTTTGATTATATTTCCAGCATTTGATTATATTTCCAGCATTTTTAAACATTTTTGCTAATCTGACAGAAGATATTATAGATTATAGATATCCAAACTGTTCTAAAAGAGATTATGTAAAACAATAAGTATTTCTTCAAGCTTCTGATTAGAGCATCCAGATGACTACATTTCTCAAATTAGCAAGACTGAATCTATTTGAACTTTGAACTTTGAAAGAGGCTTTGAACCTCTTTCCAACTGGATTTGTCTTAGCACTCAGAATACTACAGTAGTTTCAAAGCAGTGATTTGTATAGTTTTTCTCTTTATATTGTGCCTCCAGATACAAAGCTGAATCTAGAGCATACAGAATTTATGTGTAATTTATGTGTAAACACATTGTTAAGATTAAGTCTCAGTTTATTAGCGCATATGAAAGCTCTTACTGCTATCAGTTATTGATTTAAAATATTAATAGCTTCTCTAGTTGAAATCTAAATTTGATTTCTTTTTCAGAGGCAGATTCTGAACTTAATCACAACCATTAAAAATGGAGAGTTCAATACAAAATCGGTTTCCATTCAAATATATACTGCAATCTTGCAGGAAATCTGACAGTTTTGATATCTGTTAAAAAGGATCTTGGCAAGGATTTTTCTTACTACTCTTCTTTTTATATATTGATTTAAATGATTTATTGATAACTTGAGAAAAGAAAAAGAACTCATTCTCCTAAATTAGCCAAAATGAGCCCTCTTTATGCAGACATTGCTGCTTACTGTCACAAACTGGATTATGACCTCCAGTGAGGACACTATGAGCTAAATATCCCTGAAGGAGCAGGGATGGCATTATGGCAGAGATTGGCAGCCAGATGCTCAATTGCCGCTCACAAAATCTCTCTGGAAAAAGAAGACATTTCTTAATCACATTTGGATTTTTTTAAACTGCTTTTAAACTATTAATCTTTGGAATAGCAAGCTTTTATCACATTCACTGGGCAAGTCTCTTTCTCCTTAGCAAAAGAATTTTCAAGAATCCAGAAAAAAAATTTTTGGGAATAAACAGCAAAAGGGGCAATTAAGAGTATTGATTTTAGAAAGTTGAAAAACAGGCTAAAGGTCCAGATGGATTTGAAAGAAGAAATTAATTGTAAGAATCCTTCCCATAGGAAATTGCTATTCTTTGGATTCCTTAAGGCAGAGGTCCCCAACCCCTGGTCCGGGGACCAGTACCGGGCCGCGGCATGCCAGCAACCGGGCCGCACAAACAAGCAAAGCCCCATCCACAAGATGCAGACAGCACACAAAACCATGCACCCTCCAGTCCACGGAAAAACCTCTCTCCACGGAACCGATCCCTGGTGCCCAAAAGGTTGGGAGCCTCTGCTTAAGGGGAAAATATGATAGGATGGGACTTTAAGAGTTAAATACTAGAGCAGTGGCCCCAAACCTTTTGGGCACCAGGGACTGGTTCCATGGAGAGAGGTTTTTCCACCAATTGGAGGGGGTGTAGTTTCGTGTGCTGCCTGCATCCTACAGATTTGCACGGACTGGTTTCTGGCATGCTGTGACCTGGTGCTGGTCCACAGACTGGGGATTGGGGACTCCTGCACTAGAGGTACCTAGAAGTACAGTACAGTTGAAGGAGAAATATACTTAAAATCAGTTATTTAATTCAGAATGGCGCAAAATACTTTAGCATTGGATGTTTTCAAGAATATTTATGAACAATGGGCTCAGATGTTAATTTTAAGAATGTCTCATAATAGATAGATGGTATGTAAATGATGTTATAGCAGATGAAGCAGTTTTACCAGACAAGACTGACATTGCTTTGAATGTGGACTTAGAAATGATGAATTACAAGAATAATATGAAAAAAGTGATATACTGCATATACAAATTAAACCAATTGATGTGTTAATAATTAAAAAAAGCCTACAAATAACAAACCACAAGAGTACTTTGGATAACTTTCCTATACTGGATTTATAAAAGAGATCTGTACAAAAGAGATCTGTTAAGATTTTGAAGGGTTTTCTGAGAAGGGACAAAAAAGAAAAGAAAAGAAATCTAGCTCCTAGGTATTATTAATGTGATTAAAAAACAAGATTGTTAAAAGTACAGGGCAGGAATATAAATTTGGTTTATTTGATCAAGGTTAAAATAGATAAGTAGTCATCTCTGATAAACTTTCATGGACTTTTGTTGACCAGGAATGAATGATGAGTTTGTAAGATTTTTTTTATAGTTAAGAGATGAGATATCGGGAAATAAGAGCATTTGTTGTATTTTAAAAGAAGGTGATAAGTTACTAAAATAGTTTATGCTTGTTGTAATGAAGAGGAAGTTATGTCTTTACATATTTTCTTTTTTCTGTTCTATTTTTATTCTCTTGTATTTCCTTTTCTTCCTTTTCTAATTTTTTTACTCATGTTTTTAATTTGTATTAGTGCTTTATCTTTTAACTGTAACCTCTAATAAAACTATTATTAAAAAATCAAAGTAGTTTATGACAAGACCAGTGCAAAATACAAAAGAATTATTTTAATTTATTAACGTTTTCTAGTTCATTAGAACTTTTTCTTATGAAAGTTGTCTCAATCGAAACAATAAGAAAGGATTAAGAAAATCCCCAAATTAGACTATATCTAAGTGTACAGTTCAAAATCAGTATTGAGATGGAATTTGAGGACAGAATCATTACTAGTTGTTGGTATCAAATTAAGTGACTTAAGTTCTCTGATGGTAGACAAGGAAGAATGTCAATGTAGCCCTAAGTCCTGGTGCTCTCATTTAATAGTATCACAAATGTAGAGAAAACTGTGGATGACAAGATGAAACCAATTGTGTATTGTATCATTTCTTATTTCCCTTATTGGATGAGAAGCAAAATGTTATTTTTTGAGAGATCATCATTTCTTATTTCCTTTATATTCAGTTTTCAAAATATTGCCACTTGGAAATTTCAAATTACAGATAACGGTATAATATAAACATGCTAAGGGAAGTCTACTCATCTTTTGACTTGACAAGCACAGCATACCAATAATCATATACAAAAATCTATCGAGATTTGATAGTGCTCTGATTTTCTTTGCAAATCCGTATGAAGTTGCTTTTACTAGATTGTATTAAATTGATCAAGTTATACAAATGATTCAACTTTTCTTACATATAATAAAAAGAGTATTTAGAATGCTTCATCATTATGAGAATCTTCTCTAATTAATGAGTTGATTCTCACACTGATAATGAGGCTACGAGTTCTGTAAACAATATTAAGAGTAGCTCACTGGAATTTTTGTGTGATCCGCTTAACCCTTTTCTTAATAAATCTTATTCAGCAAAATCATAAATAAATGTTTCTTGAATGTTAGAGAGTTCTGGCATTAACAAAAGAGAGGACCAGAAATAATTGAATTGGAACATACCTATGGAGATTCTCAACCATCCAGAACATGGTTGTCCCAAAGGTGCCTTTTCAAAAGACAACTGGACTTTCTTTTTGTTTTTTTCCTTGAAAACATTTTGCTTCTCATCCAATAAGTTTCAATCAGAACTGAAGAAGCTTCTTGGATGAGAAGTGAAACATATTTGCATTGGAGTTACTCACAAGTAAATATGTGTAGTGCACAAGATTACATCTTGTAACTTCTTAAATAATGTCACATGGTTATTTGTATTGCTATAACAAAGTAACTATGGGTTTCTACTCTACAGGAATCCGGTGTAGTTCCACAACATGTTGTTGAAGGATCCACTAAAGGTAAGCATCACTGTGTTGTAATATAGTCTCTTGGTTTAAAAATGAAAAAACAACATAATTTTACATCCATTTTATTTACCTTAGTCTCATCTAAATAATTAAAATGGGAAAAACCAAAATTATTGCAACAGTTGCACAGAAAAAACAGTATAAAAATAGATCAAATGCCATTGATGAAAAAGGATCCATTTGATGAAACTCATTATTATCCATTTATTAGCAAACTGGGATCTTTGGAACAAATTTAAACATGAGAAGGGAAGAGAAGATGTAAAATATGCTCTGTTGTATGACTGGAAGTTCTGTAGCAGAATGTTAGGTGTCAGCAGCTGATATTAAAAGCATAAAAGAACAGGACAGACTTCCAAAAGGTTCCAAGAACATATTTGAGGAGAGAATTGCAGTTTCCTGCTATTGTATAAAGTTTTTCTTAAGTATCACAATGTAACCATCAACAAATTCCCCATTCCCAATTTTACCTCTGCAGTGCGCTCACAAGGTGACGTTAAGCAAACCAGTCTCAGTTTCAGTCTGCCATAGGGCTGATATGCAATTAGGTCACACTTGTGAAGTTTTTGACCGCTATTTAGATGTTAGTAATCATTAATAATGATTATTACTAGTATTATTATTAAAAACAAAATGTATAAGCAGGCTTTGAACAAAGGAGTCTACAGAAGGAGAGCAAGAAGAACAAATGGTTCACATTGCTGCCCAGACTCCTCCCTTAGGTACTTGTGTGCAATGTCACAACCTAAGTCCAAAAGATAGGACTAGCATCATAATGTCACAATGCACCTATTGTCCCTTTGGCATCTTCAAGGCTAATTACGAACCACCGGATTAGTATATCTATAAACCATTGTTTGGTGCTTTTGAAATTAACTCAATACTTAGGCATTCCTTTCTGCTTTTTTCTTCCGTTTCCTATACAATATTTTTTTAAAATGCAAGGCATGCTTTAACAGCTTGGATACACTAAACATTAATTATTAATAACAACCATTAAAATTTAGCTATTCCAGTAGATCTTGGGGGTGAATATGGTGGGCTCTTGTCCCCTCCTACAAGAGTATCTTTTAGAACAAGAGATTGGACAACCATTTGTCTGAAATGGTATAGGGCAGACATGACAAACTCGCAATGTCATGTGACATCGCGCGACGTATCGGAGCTTTTTCCCCATTGCCAGCAATGAGGTGGGCGCGGTTTCCTCGTGACATGTCCGGCCCTCAGGCCAGCAGTTTGACACCCCTGATATAGGGTTTCCTGCCTGAGCTGGAAGACCTCCAAGATCCCTTCCAACTCTATTATTCTATTCCATTCCGTTCCATTCCATTCCGTTCCATTCTATTCTATTCTATTCTATTCTATTCTATTCTATTCTATTCTATTCTATTCTATTCTATTCTATTGTTTCCTTGTACATGGAATGGATGTTGTTGTAAATTGATCTCTTGTTTAATTTTAGTTTCGATTGTTTTAATCTTGCTTGCATATGTTAGACCTATAAGCTGTTCAGATTGGAGCAGTAGCCAAATAAAGTGAAGTTGAATTCACAAACAAAAGAAAGTAAGTATGTGAAAGGAGAAATTCCATAAGTACCAAACGATTTCATTTGATCTCTAGAGTTCTATGCTACATAAAAATTGCAATGAAAAAATACATTATGTGAGAGAAAGGATAAGTTAGACACAACCATACGGAGTACTAAATTTCAAATATAATTTCAATACAATGATTTTTATATAATAGTTTCTTACTATTCTGTTATTTAGATATCTTAGAGCAGACATGTCAAACACAAGGCCCAGGGGCCGGATGCGGCCCACGAAGTGGTTTCATGTAGCCTGCGAAGCTATCCTGGAAACAGTGAGGGAACTGCCCCCACTGCCTTGGCCCTGGCCCAGGCCGGCCGGGAGCCAATGTACAATTTTGTGGTGGCCATCTATGCTGAAACGCATTCAGTCTTAGCTCCACAAGGCCATCTAGAAACAGTGAGGAACCAGCCCCTGCTGTGTCGGCCCCGCCCCCTGGGTGCATGCTGGGGAGGTGTCACTCTTTGTGAGGAATGAAGAAATGGACCATGCCTTGGTGCTTGCCCCGATCCCACCCCCTTCTGCCAGAGACCCTCAGATCTGTCCCACTCCTGCCCAGGCCCCCACAGGCACTCTTGACGCGAATGATGTAGAGCTGGCCATGCCCACCCAGTAGGCCACACCCACTCCATTCACACCCACCCAGTAGGCTGCACCCACCCTGGCCCTCCGAGGGCAACCGCAATGCTGATGCGGCCTCAATGAAATTGAGTTTGACACCCCTGGCCTATTGTATCCTTTCTTAGTTCTGATCAGTAATCTGGTTTGATTTTTGTTATATTCAATGTCACTTGGTCTTGGCATCTGTCAAATAATGGAAGAGGCCATCTAAAATTAAAAGTTTCTAAGGATGGAAAAATAAATCAGAAGCCAGAAGAAGGTATATTTTGTAGCAAATATAAAGGGTGTTTAAGAAGTACTACAATCTGGATGCTGATACTTTGAAACTGATATTTGAATCCGTTGTTCACACTTTTTAACTTAGGAGTATGTCATAGACACAGTTTAGAGCAGACGTGTCAAACTCGCGACGTCATGTGACGTCGCGCAACGTATCGGAGCTTTTTTGCCATTGCCAGCAATGGGGTGGGTGCGGCTCCGGTATGATGAAACCGGCCCGTGGGCCGGCAGTTTGACACCCCTGGTTTAGAGGATGGTGGCTATCAGTAGGGCAAAGCTTTCTTTATAATATAAGGAATTTTACTTTCCTGCTGCTTTTCTCCTATATTTTCACATCTTAATTTGCATTCATTTATATATATATTGAATTCTATAGTATCTATTTTATTCTTTTTCCTTACTAGGTATTCTACATTAACCTTGTTTCCCAGTTGTCTGGGGGGGCGAGGTGGGTGGGTTGCAAGGTAGAAGGATGGCCATCTCTAATACAGATTTGTTATAGCCCATCTGCTATGCTAGAGGTGATTCACTAGCTTCCTCTACTGCTGACCTCTTTACAGCTCAGCCCTCTGATGTTGGCTCTGAACTTGATTCCTTGAATGCAGCTGAACTGCTCCTGCTTCTGGTTTTGAGGGTTGGGTGTTTGAACTGGTTAGAAGTGCAAGGGTTGGGAACTCACATAGCTTACTAGCTTCACCAACCTTAGTAGGTATTTTTGATTGTCCTTCTCAAAGGTCTGCTTCTCATTCTTTTTTTCATCTGAACTGTTTGGAAGTTGCTTGCTGTCATATGTATCTGTCTGTATACTAGGTGACATTGGAATGTGTAGGATTGCCTCATTTATCTATCTGTACTCTCCTATTTCTTGGGCCATTACATTGGGATAAGCTTGCATGGGTTTATCCATGATGCTTGAAGCAAGTTGAGTGACACACTCTCCTTTGGACCATTGCAGGCTGTAGCAACTCTCTCAAATGCAATAAAGAAACCGAATGTCTTTTCTTTGGGATTGTAATGTCCCCAAGCTGTCCACTCCTGTCACTAGCTGATGGGGATATTTGCCTAACCACGGCAGTGGTAGCCAACATTTAAGATTCTCTCAAAAGATTTAGCATTTCCTTATATTCTTCCCTGTACTCTTCTCTCCTATATCCTTTCTCTTCCATTTTTTTCCATCACTCCACAGTCCTCCAACTATATAAGGGAAGATTCTCAAAAGAATAGAGGAGGAGAAGGAGCACAAATATTTTCATTTCTGTCCCATTTGGAACTTTGAGAGCCTACATATGAAGGTATAGTGAGGGTGCCAGTGAAAGTGGTCCAGTCACAATATGGCTAGGCTTGAGTCACGGAGCAAGAAAGTTAGGTGAGGTATGGACCTGGGGGATGCCAAGGAAAAGACAGAATATTGTAATTTAAAACAGATTTTTGTTTCTCTGGGGTGAAGCAAGTGTACCTACATCTTCTCTGTTTTTTCTAATTTTCAGCCTCATTTAGACTCCAGTTCTGCTTATCTAGAACTTTGATACTCTGGAAAGAGGAGAGGTGGTAGCTTTATTATTTACATAATATGCAATGATAGGAAAAATAAATATTGGATTCAGTGATTGACAGATCTGCACTTAAGTCACTTGAGATTTAATCACAATTACGTGGCCCAATCCCTGTATAATTTGGAGAAATCATGAATGTAGAGATATTTTAACATTTGTTCCAGGACATGGTTTGAGCTAACTGTAACTCATTTCTTTCTTTTAAGCAATTATGTGATAGTTTTTAGTGAGTTGCAATAACTAGAATTCCTGATTGACTGATTATAGCGAAAAGATTAATAAAGTCAGTCTATATACGTCAATCACAACAATCACAATGAGCTTCATCTCATTCAAGTAGTAGTGTACAAATACTTGTTCCTTATATTTTACACAAAAATCACTTCTACCTTTAATATGGATAACTAATATGGATAAGATAGAAGCTTAGTGTTTTTGAAAATTCCACCATATTCTGTATTAAAACAACAACATAATAGACATATAAATCCAGGGCTTTTTTTCTCATAGAACGCCCAGAACGGAGTTCTGGCCTTTTTTGGATGGAACTTGTAGGGCAGGCAAGGCGGGTTGAATGATGTGTGTGAGTTCCGGCACCTTTTTTTTTTTAAGAAAAAAAGCACTGTATAAATCAAATGTTAAAGAAGCATAGCTTAAAAAATTGCACTAACTGCTATGGAATTTGGCATATTTTGTTCCTGCTTGAAACTCTAGAATTCTTGAAAATGTAATTTTATTCTGTCAAAAAGATAGAAATACACTTGTCTCATATTAGGCTGTTCATATTTTCAGATGAACATTTTTTTAATCAGCTTGTACCACTTGAGTTTTGAATTTGTACTCTGAATTGGATTATATATAGCTCAACTCAACAGGTATACTGAAAGTTCATTTATGTTATTTTACTTTATTAAGACATTAGAAGCATCAAGAGTTGCTCTATATGTATTTTCTAGTTCATCGGCAAACCATCATCTTTTCCTTTTCAGAAACACAGGCTTAATCTGAGGAAAAATTTCTATATTTCTTTCTTATTCATATAGGTGAATCTACAGAAAAAGTAAGTAGTGAAGTAGTTCAGATACCAGAATCAGCAGACGCTGCTTTCAACAATCAATTAGTAAATAAATCTCTTGAAGAAATTGAACTTGAAAAGAACATGATTTCCAAGGAAATATGGATGGACTATGAAGATTTCTGTATTTGCTTTCAGTAAGAAGCAGTCAGGTTTTTTTTTTTAGTTGTAGCCCTATATTTCTGAAAACATAATGTGTTTTTATATTGAAAACATTGTCTTGAATATAACAAATAAGTTGCTTTTATACCCCAAACAAGAAGGCAAGCAGTTGCCAAGGTTACCTGCACAATCATTGGAGTCTTTTTTGAAAGGGACATCATGATAACTATACAGAAATTATTTTGTGTGTCAAGATCCCTCATTTCTATGATTCTCTACTCTCCAGAATTTGACCAATTGATTTTAATTGAGAACCAGAACTACAGAATTCACTGTTGCATAAGACTATATGTACAGTCTTACATATAAAGACTGTAAAAAATTTCTGTCAATAATATTTTTCAGTTTGGGCTCTACAAAATACTGGGAATGAATTTCTATTATTACTATTATTCTGTCTTTAATATTGAAAAGTTAAGAATATTTTTAATTCAGTAAAGTGTGACATCGCATGAGAGATTTTTTATATAACTTATGCTAAAATAATTGCATTCCTTTTTCTTAGGAATTTATATGTTTTCCACAAACCAAATACCTATGCCTATAACTATCAGAAGTCAGATTTTAGGGTAAGTTTATTGACAATATGATTTATTTATATCTCAGTATGTTTCAGTTTGTATTGATGAAACATATTTATCAAATAAACTTTATTATACAGAATAGAATATTTCAAGTTCATGTCATGGGTTGAGATTTTTTTAAAAAAACAATTACAAAATAATTATCTAAAATAAGAAAACAGTTGGTAATTGCAGATCTTAGACGTACGGGATTAAACTCAATTCTAGCAAGATTGAGTAGTTTTAGTTTCAAGGACCTGGTGGTACAGTGATTTACAATCTTTAATTCTTGAGTAGCACTGGCCAGGTAGAACTGGTAATTTAAGGATCCTCAGACTCTGAACTCCTGCTCAATTCACAGATGGCAACCATGGCCAGAAGACCCTTTGCATAATTCCAAGTTGTGCGCCAATTGCATTTGATCAGGAGACTCTTTTCACAGTCATTGGTGTCCCAGTCACTTTCCACTATGACAATGCATATCTATATGTGGAGAGTGGAGACTCTTTGGAAGCCACAGATGGTCCACAAAGCCACTGTGCAAGTAGTTAACATGCTTCCATCTTCAGCCATGTAATACTACCACTCCATCAGCTGCTGCTGTTATTGGTGAGCTTCCAGGTGTAATTCAAAGTGTTGGTTATCATCTGTAAAGGTCTTTGTGACTCAGTACCTAATTACCTATGGGACTATATTTCTTCCATTATTTCTGCTTGACCAGTAAGATCTAGATGAGTTGGTATGGTCTAGATCCTTGATATAAAGCTCTTCAATTTTATGGGACGTAGAAGATATCCCTGTTTTGTTGAACACCATACCTGCTGAGAACTGTATGGCCCCAACTCAGTTGGCCTTTCATAAAGCTATAAAAACCTGGCTCTTTTATATTCTTTGAGATAGGGTGAAATAAATTGCTCTTGTGGTAGTTGGTGGGAAGTATACTGAGTTAGCTTCCTCTGTGCAATAACATATTCTTTTGGTGATTCTGCTTTGATGTTATTTTTGCTTAATATTTCAGTCCCATATTGTAAGCCACTTAGAGCACTTTGTGATTCAGTAATATTCAAGTTGCAAATAAGTTTACAAGCAAGAGAGAAAGAAATATCAATCCACAGGATATCATGACAAATTGGTGGTTACATAGAATCCGAGTTGATTATTGTAAGACATATATTTTTACCATTTAGTGGCAGAACCAATTACTGTACAAATGAACTTGCTTTTACAATACTATTTAACCATTCTGCTATCGTCAGTTGTCACACACCTATATACTGTATAAAGTTCTGAGATAGATTTTGAACTTACTGGATCTTAAGTCCCACCGTTCCCCAAATATAATTTTTTAAAAAAGAAAAATTTCCTCAGCCCTGAAACTGAAGTAACTATTTAATTTCCCATTGAATTCAGGGGAGGGAGGAAGGAAGGGAGAAGCAAAGAAAAGAAGTAGAAATTGCATTGGGGAAAAGAACTACTTCTCCCTCCCCGACTTTGCATGTTCATCCCTCTTACCCTCTTTCCCATAGTATTGCCTTGATGAAACTGGTTTTTGATGGATTTATTTTTCTCTTTATTAGCTGTATATTCATGGTACATTTTACAGCATTTTTAATGCTGCAGCTTTCTTTACATAAAATAGATTTCTATTTAATTATTCTAAAGCCATTATTGTATTAAAAAAACTGATCAAAATTATAGATTAGATTTAGTCGTTTTATAACCCATCTCTGTGAAATCGCTGAGACTAAATTACTAGCAAGTTCTATTAATTAGGCACTGCAAAACTTTTAGGGAATTTTTATGAAGTGTCTAAGCAAAGATAGCAGAAGTCCCACCAAACAAGCCAACAACATGATTGATTGCTTACTAACTATTAAGCTGGCATATATTCTGCATGTACCTATATAAACCCATTTAAATGCAAATAGAATCCTTTCTACTTAACAAAAAGGAAGACAAGTGTTCCATATGATTGCAAATAGTTACCATATCATTGATTCACTGGGGTAATGGTAAGTATATCATTACTTTCAGCCCATATAGTAGCACCAGTGCCTACTTATAATTTCCATTAATTTGGATTCTATTATATAGTCTTGCTTCTTTATTGTAAACATATAGAGTTTTAGATTGGTAAAATATAATCTAGAGATAAGTAATTTTACAAATACTATTTCTTCACTTCTTTAATTAGAAATTAGTCTCTGTAGCCTCATTTTAACTTGCAGCTATATCAATCGAAATGAATTTACCAAAAGTCATCATAATTATGCTATTGTCTTTTTTCACTTTGAAAATTTTCAGTGCATTTTAAACACTGATTAACTTCCAAATTTATAAATATAGAACATTACTCTTTGAACCAATCTTCCTGATGTCATTCTTTCTTAATATCCAATTAAATAAAACTTTAGGAAGTTATATATAAAACCCTTCATGCAAAAGAGTGTAGACTTTTTGTCAGTTGGTTAAAACAGCACCAATAGTTATGGGGGAAAAACATTCATGACTGATAAAACGAGTTGACACTTTTGGTTCTGTATCCAATACCATACATTGAAATATAACAGAAATGCTATCAAGTGTTAGTTACTACAACGTTAGATGATGGAATTTAAACCAAATGATCTTTTCTCCTTGCAGATGGTAGATGATCGAGTCTTGTATTATATGTGCGTGGACAGCTTGAAGCCCACTGATATTCTAGTTAGCTTTTCTGCATTAGTACATTGGGGAGAAACTGGAGGTAAGATTAATACAAAGCACAAGAGTAAGATTAATATTGTTCTCTTGGATTTTTTCTAAGACATATTGAGAAATAGAAGTAAACCAGCTAAATCAATAATATTCACTCTGTATGCATTTTCCTCATATTTAGCGTTCTGTGAAAATTACCATGTAAATAGTTTTATGTCAGGAATATTTAATTGAAATACACATGTATCTACTGTAAAGTACATTTTTATTATTGTAGCATGCTCATTATACAAATGAAGAATGGTTAATAACATAAAACTACCAACAATAAAATGTCAGTAAAATCAATAAGGGCAAGAAAAGAGGTACAGAGAAATAATCCCTACTACTGTACTATGACTTGCTTGTAATTTTTCAGAAATGCCCAGTGAAACAGGCCTATTAATAGTGACTTATTCAGACTCACATATATTTGTACAACTGCCATTCAATACACTTTGCGAAGAAGGACATTTCACATTAAGAGTTCCAAAGCTCCTCAAATTATATTAATGCATGAAGGGAATTGCACCTTGATGGTGACAGAAGACAATCCATTGCGAATGTCTGTATGCTAATATGCAATAAAAATTATTAGCTAGTCTACCATGTTTTGTAACTGAGAATTCAAACTATGACAACTCAACTCTGTAAGGACAACCACTATTAAAATGTGGCCAACTTCATACTGTCCATCCTTTTCACAATCATGTTTGATTGATTGATTGATGTAACTGTCCATCTCAGACATATAATTCTAGATGGTTTACAATAAAGTAGACAAAATAAAAAATAAAAATATATAGTAGCCCAGCATCATATAAACAAACCATCAACAAAGCCAAGAGACAGGCTACATCATATATCTGGGGGCCCAGGTGTGGATAGAAAACTAAGTTTTGAGGGCCTTATGTAGAGCCAACAGGATTGGGGCTAGACTAATCTCATATGCAATAATAAAGGTAACTCAAGAAAGGATTTCTGAATTATTCTCTGTAGCACATTGGAAACCAATGCAGCTCATGAAGCAGTGGTATCACATGTGCCCAGTACTGACGCCATTGGATGCCCACACACTACCGTATATTTCCCCAAATCTTGTCACGGGTAGCAGTTTTCATACTCTTTCTAATCACAATGTGTGCCCCCTAAAATTGAACTTCTGCTTGGTAATCATTGTTTTAAAGGAGCAGTTGGGCTTTATTAGTCTACAACTGACTGATTATTTTTAGTCTCTGGTACTTTTAGTAACTCTCTCTGGATTAATTGGAAGGTGTTTATCTTTCTTCCATATCCTTATTTTTTTTTTCTGTTAAATATTGTCTGATTTTTTGCAGGCTGCCTGAAGAAGACCCTGCAGGTTTTTTTGGCAAGATTTTTTAGAAATATTTGTCATTGCCTCCTTACAAGGGCTGAGAGATAGTGACTGGCCCAAGGCCAGCCAGCTGGGTTTGTGCCTAAGGCAGAATTAGAACTCACAGTCACTCAGTTTTTAGCCTGATGCTTTAACCACTACACCAAATTCTTATATTACTAATAGAAAAAAAATCCTGCACCTTTGGTATCATAAAAGTATTCTTACCCTTCATCTTCTTATCTAAATATATCTTTCATTAGTCTCTTTCACCCTAACATTAATCTTTTTATTTCTGCAATGCATGTCCTACTTTATCCTTTCTTGAGCAAACAAGACTATTAACTACCCTCACTTATTTGCCTTCTGCTCATTTATTAAGCAAAATGGTTGAAATTACCTTTATCTTCTTAATATTTAATATTATAGATATTTCTAGATTATTAAAACATTAAAGCAAGTTACTCCTTCAACAGTGACTCCATCAGAAATCAGAGTCCTTTTATTTTTTTTAATAATGTTTTTTTCAGCTTTTAAACAAGTAGAAAAAATTAGGACAAATCAATAGACAATAAGCAGGGGAAAAGAAAAATCAAGAAAAAAACCAAAAACTATAAGAAAAAAAGTTTAGAAAAAGAAAAAAAGAGAAAAGAGCAGCTTTTGATATTCTTCACAGCAGTTATAAGTACAAACATATTTTAACTCCACTCTCTATTGTTACATAATAATGCTCTTCTTTATATCTGTCTTTCAAAGCCATAAGTCTCAAGTTCTTTTTTTTTTTCATTTTATGCAAAACATCCATAAGAGACTTCCAGTCAGCAATAAATGTAGATAATGTCTTTCCTCTAATCAAAGAAATTATCCATGTCAGCAAAATCTTTATCAACCATAGCCCCATAGTGGGTGATATTGAATCTTTCCATCTCTGTGCATACAGTAATGTTGCTGCTGTGATCATATATTGGAATAATTTTCCATGGCTTTTTTTCCTAACTGCTTGTCCATTATAAAAAGAAAAGTTCTGGCTTTACTAATCAGATTTGTTTTAAGTTTGGTCTGATACCATCACAACTAAATTTACTTGTGAAACCTTGATACTTGTCCCCAATATCCGAATGCCTTCCACCTAGAAGACTCGTTATTTGGTAGCCAAACTTTTCTAAATATTTCAGCCATGCCCATACAGCAACACAGAAATATCTTGCTATTACCTTCTTAAAGTTCCTTCATCTAAACAAGTAAGTTTCTTTTACACCTGCAAAGCAAGAAAAATAAATTCCAACAGTTTTTAGTTATATCTTTTGTCTTCTTTAGCCTTAAAACCAGAGTTTTCAGATTTTCTATCCCAGCTCAGAGGAGTCTAGTGTTACCATAACCATCTGTACGTATTGTCCCTTTGCATTCAATCCAAACTAGTTGTTCTTGATTCCTGTTTATTTTTATTCATAGCCAAGTATAAGAATCCCTTTTTGATGTCGAGGTTCTGTTCTGATTCAAGAAGAGCCCATTGTTCTTATACAGACATGAATGTTTATAAAACGTTTTGGCAGTACCAAACATTTTGTGCCTATTCCAGAATCCCAGACATATATTGAAAGCCATTGGTTTTACTGTTTACTTGGCCCTCTAGGTGAAACAGAAAGCATTTCAAAGAAAGCCAGACTGGCTTTCAGTTTCCTTTGGAGAAATTTAAAGTTGGCACACAAGAATTCATGACTAAATTCTCCTGTGTCACAATATGCAGAATAATCATTAAATATGTATCAGTATGCAGACTATCTAAGTAGTGCATGAATATAAGCAGCAAGTGCACCAGGCAGGCAAATTACCATGCAGTCTATGAGNGCCGCCGCCGGCACCGGGCAAGCAGGCGGAGCGCAGCGCCAGGGGAGGGGGAGCGAGCGGCAAGCCGCCGTGGCTTGCCTGGCGGTGGCGGCAGCAGCAGCAGCTGCTTCGAGACGCTGACTCGAGTATAAGCCGAGGGGGGCATTTTTCATCCCCAAAAATGGGCTGAAAAACTCGGCTTATACTCGAGTATATACGGTAATTTGGATTCTATTATATAGTCTTGCTTCTTTATTGTAAACATATAGAGTTTTAGATTGGTAAAATATAATCTAGAGATAAGTAATTTTACAAATACTATTTCTTCACTTCTTTAATTAGAAATTAGACTCTGTAGCCTCATTTTAACTTGCAGCTATATCAATCGAAATGAATTTACCAAAAGTCATCATAATTATGCTATTGTCTTTTTTCACCTTGAAAATTTTCAGTGCATTTTAAACACTGTGATTAACTTCCAAATTTATAAATATAGAACATTACTCTTTGAACCAATCTTCCTGATGTCATTCTTTCTTAATATCCAATTAAATAATACTTTAGGAAGTTATATATAAAACCCTTCATGCAAAAGAGTGTAGACTTTTTGTCAGTTGGTTAAAACAGCACCAATAGTTATGGGGAAAAAACATTCATGACTGATAAAACGAGTTGACACTTTTGGTTCTGTATCCAATACCATACATTGAAATATAACAGAAATGCTATCAAGTGTTAGTTGCTACAACGTTAGATGATGGAATTTAAACCAAATGATCTTTTCTCCTTGCAGATGGTAGATGATCGAGTCTTGTATTATATGTGTGTGGACAGCTTGAAGCCCACTGATATTCTAGTTAGCTTTTCTGCATTAGTACATTGGGGAGAAACTGGAGGTAAGATTAATACAAAGCACAAGAGTAAGATTAATATTGTTCTCTTGGATTTTTTCTAAGACATATTGAGAAATAGAAGTAAACCAGCTAAATCAATAATATTCACTCTGTATGCATTTTCCTCATATTTAGCGTTCTGTGAAAATTACCATGTAAATAGTTTTATGTCAAGAATATTTAATTGAAATACACATGTATCTACTGTAAAGTCCATTTTTATTATTGTAGCATGCTCATTATACAAATGAAGAATGGTTAATAACATAAAACTACCAACAATAAAATGTCAGTAAAATCAATAAGGGCAAGAAAAGAGGTACAGAGAAATAATCCCTACTACTGTACTATGACTTGCTTGTAATTTGTCAGAAATGCCCAGTGAAAAAGGCCTATTAATAGTGACTTATTCAGACTCACATATATCTGTACAACTGCCATTCAATATACTTTGCGAAGAAGGACATTTCACATTAAGAGTTCCAAAGATCCTCAAATTATATTAATGCATGAAGGGAATTGCACCTTGATGGTGACAGAAGACAATCCATTGCAAGTGTCTGTATGCTAATATGCAATAAAAATTATTAGCTAGTCTACCATGTTTTGAAACTGAGAATTCAAACTATGACAACTCAACTCTGTAAGGACAACCACTATTAAAATGTGGCCAACTTCATACTGTCCATCCTTTTCACAATCATGTTTGATTGATTGATTGATGTAACTGTCCATCTCAGACATATAATTCTAGATGGTTTACAATAAAGTAGACAAAATAAAGAATAAAAATACATAGTAGCCCAGCATCATATAAACAACCATCAACAAAGCCAAGAGACAGGCTACATCATATATCTGGGGGCCCAGGTGTGGATAGAAGACTAAGTTTTGAGGGTCTTATCTACATAAGATAAGGATTGGGGCTAGACTAAT